GACTGTAAGGAAGCGCAGCCTCTAGCACCACTCCATACCCACATCAGTCAAGTACTGCTCATTATTTTCATCTTCCATCATTTTCTCCCTATCCACTTCCTGACTTTTTGAGACAGGGTCTAACGTAGCATAGATCGGCCTTGAACTCCATATATATATAAAACCTCGCTCCTGACTCTCCTGCCTCCACTTCCCCAGGCTGTGATCATAAGCATGCACCACTGTATCCCAGCTGCAGAATTTCTTCACTGCCTTTTTTTTTTTTAAAAAAAGAGAATAAAGAGAAAATGTTCTACACAACCACTGTCACAGAGAGGCAGGGAATCTCCTAATTCAATTAAAAGCCTTGTTTTGAAGTTTCTTGAGAACAGGGTTTAAAAATTCTGACAATGATTCATCCTGGTAATGTGAAAAGGACAAGCAGGAAGTAGGCAGTCTTCAAGTAAAGGAGGCTTCCCAAAGGAAGTAGAGCTTCCTCTCAGTAACTCCAGTGAGAACCTTAGAATGTAGACATTGGGCTGGAGAGATGGCTCAGCGGTTAAGAGCATTGCCTGCTCTTCCAAAGGTCCTGAGTTCAGTTCCCAGCAACCACATGGTGGCTCACAACCATCTGTAATGAGGTCTGGTGCCCTCTTCTGGTCTGCAGACAGAATATTGTATACATAATAAGCAAATAAATATTTAAAAAAAAAAAAAAAGAATGTAGACATATTTCAGGATGTCTTGGGATTTATAAGTAAATAAACATCTGAAAAAGTGGAAAAAACATATCAGCAAAGTTCAGAGTGCACCCACATATACACCCTGGTGCTGGGCTTAAATCCAGAGCTTCTTGTATTCGAGGGGTGCGCTTTGCCACTGAGCAACACCCCAGCCTACAAATATATTTGTATAGCACTGTTTTGCTCCACCTACCCCATATTCCTGGCTCACAGTTTTGTTTTGCTTCAAGTCTTTAAATCAATGGTTACTAAATAAGTAATAAGGTTTTGTCCTCAGCAGGGCAGCAGCAGGGCAAACAGTCCTACGCCATAGCCACTGCTTCACACCTCACTTCCACCGGGGTGTGTCCTCAGCTGGTTGTCACTGAGGCGCCTCTGCTTCCTCACCTGAAAGATCATCTGGGTTTCAGAGGAAGGTTAGGATTCCATAGAAGCAGTGGAAAGGCTTCTCGGTGAGTAACAATGTTGTCAAGTAAAGCAAACTAGGCTGGGTCAGAATTTATCTAATCCTGTCAATATAGTCTTCGCCTTTTAATTTAGAATGAAACACAAAATATAGTAATACAATTCAAGTTCCATATTTTAAAAATAGTATTTATGTCAAACATTATAGCTCTTTAAAGTAGTTGGTCTTTTCTTTGGGCCACCAACCAGTTCCCAAATAAAGCAAGGAATCAAATAATTATGAATGCTCGACCTTAGGTTAGGCTTGTCCCACTAGCTCTTTTAACTTAATTTAACTTGTTTCCATTCATCTATGTTTTGCTTCCGGTTTTTTACCTGTCTTTCCTTTTATATGAGTGAACCTGCTTCCACCATGTCTGTATGGCTGGCTTCTGGTATTTCCCTGATCTTTCTTCTCCTGAGTCTAAATCCTCCTCCTATTTATTCCCCCTGCCCAAAGGCCCATCTATACCTCCTCCTTCACTACTGGCAATCCAACTTTTTATTAGACCAATCAGGTGCCTTAAGTAGGCAAGGTAAAGCAGGAACACATCTTTATGCAGTTAAATAAATGCAACACATCTTTGTATAGTTAAATGAATATTCTACAATACCGTAATGTAGTTCTCCTCTCTCATTCTTCCTTTTGTGGTACTAGAGACAAAACTCAGGATCTCAGGCATGCCAGGCAAATACTCTGTTCCTAACCTACAGCCCTAGTCCATTTATATTATATTTCTAACAGAGACAACCAATAACTTGACTAATGCAAAACAAAGACCTAGGTTTTATCCCCAACACTTTAAAAAGAAAAACAAAAAATTCACTTAACTCTAGGAAGTTAACTAAGTGAATATTCACAATTTTACAGAAATAATTAGCACAACAGGTTCAAAGAAAGAACATAGTAAAAATCAGAACAGTTAATTTATCTTCTTTAGAACAAGGGTGATTGTAAACCATTTTATATATGCATGCATGAACAGATTATTGAGAGAGGGTCTTGCTTTGTAGTTCAAGCCTGAAACCATGTGAGCTGGGCTGGCCTCAAACTTGCAAACCTCCTGCTTTAGCCTCCAAGTAGTAGGATTACTAGGGTTGTAGGTGTGAGCTACCACACCCAGCTAGGTTATTTTAAACAGGTGTTTTTTCCATTCTTTTGGACGTATCAAGAAAAGAATGATCTATAATCTTTCTTGGTTATTATTATCACTTTTATTTTTTGAACTTGTTTATTTATTTTTGGTTTTTTGAGACAGGGTTACTTTGTGTAGCCCTGGTTGTTCTGGAAGTTACTCTGTAAATCTGGCTGGCCTCAAACTCAGAGATTCACCTGCCTCTGCCTCCCAAGGGCTGGGATTAAAGGTATACACCACCACTGGCTAGTATCTCTTTTAATAATCTCCATAATTGGGGATTGAGAAATGATTTAGCAATTAAGAGGACTGACTGCTATTCCAGAGATACTGAGTTCAATTTCCAGCAACCACATGGTGGCTCACAACCAACTGTAATGAGATTTGGTGCTCTCTTCTGGTGTGTGTGAAGACAGGTCACTCGTATACATAAAATAAACATTAAAAAAAAGAATCTCCATAATCAGGGATGGGGATATAAGAATATAACTCAGTCGGTACAGTGCTTGTCTTCCATGTATGAGGCCTAGGTTGTATCCCCAATCTAAAAAACACAACACAGAAATTGTCTATCACCAAAGCTATCATGTTTAGTTTACATTTACTTCTTTTCTGAATAAAAACCAAACAACAATCTAAAAGTATCATAATAACCAGCTTTTTGGTTGTCTGTTTTAAAGGCAAGGTCTCTCATATAGCCCGCATTAGCCTTGAACTAACCATTGTAGCCTGGGTGGTTACAACTCACAGTGTAGCCAAGGCTGGCCTTGAACTTCTGACTCTCCTGTTTCTATTTCCCAAGTGCTATGATGACAGGCTCATTCCCCATTCCCAGCTTCCGCTCTTTAAAAGGAAGTTTCTTTCATAGCTGTAGCTGCTATTTGCTAACACCCAGCAAAATGACTTTTAAGTCATTAAGCACAAAATCTTTTCAGTAGAAGCGAAGTAGAGAGCTGCTAAGATGGAGCAGAGCTTTGAAAACTCAGCCAAGAGTCAGGAGGTTTCCTCAGCTCCTTCCAGCTCAGTAAGACACAAGTAACAATTAGTCCAGTTCAGATCACAGCATAAGAGGACAGTGTGACCTCCCTGTTCATTCTACAGATGGAATCCTCTCTGTCTCTACCAGAAATATTCAAAGGAATGGGGGAAAATCAAAAAAAAAAAAAGAAAAGAAAAGAAATGATGGAAAGAAAAAGAAAAGAAAAGAAGGAATGGAAGGAAGAAAGAGAGAAAAGAAAGAAAAGCCGATGAACAGACTTCCAGTACCGGTGACACACCCTGGTATCTGACACCCCAGACAATGCAGATATCCCAACAATATCACAAAAGAAAATCTTTCTCAGGTCAAAGGGGCTTCTGCTTTTCACGAACTCAAATTTCTCACAAGCTGATCAGAGAAGAGCGCAGTGACTCTGCTTAAGTCAACTCACTTTGATTCTCTTCCAAGACAAAGAAGCTGACAAGCACTGTGACACTGCCTGCCAGAGGATGCTCAACGAACCACTATCTTCTCTGCACTCCCATCTTCTGCTATAGATGGGGTGAGAGCACTGTCACACGGAACTGCAGAGGGGCAGATCACCCAGCACACAGTAAGAACCAGTGCTACTGCCGATCCGCAGCACCTGAGAACACCACTCGGAGCAGGGAGACTGCAGCATTTCCTTCATGAAATGAGGAAAGAGGGGACAGTTATAATACGAGTCTTAAAAGTCTGAAACAAACTGTGAACATGGTGACTTTCCCAATACTTGGGTGGTAGAAGCAGAAGGCGTGCTCTGAGTTTGAAGCCAACTCGTACTACATAGTGAGTTCCAGGCCAACCATTGATACCCTGCTCCAAAAACACAAAAAGAAAAAAAGGAAGTGTCTTTCCCACACACTGCACTATCTTGATGAAATGGCAGTACAGTAACTCCAAACTACCCTTCCTAGTTAGAGCCAATGCTTGCAGGACATGAGAGATCGTTTCCTTTGCAGTGCAGAGCAAGCATAAATGGTTAAAAATTCCAGTACCTGCTTTGGGTCAGATGGGACTAACATTTTGAATCAAATATCAGAGAAGAATTCAAAGCACAACACGGCATTGTTTACAGTCAGTTTTGTTCCCATGTTTAAGTAACTTCTGTCAGAAACCTCTGCGACACAGATCTCAGCAAACACACTGGGATGCGCTCTAGTTAGAACCCACATTCCACAAATCAACACACACAGATTCACAGTCTATTGGGTAAGTACTACTGAAATCAACTGGTAACCTTTACAACAAAACCATATTCTTAGAATCCGTATCCTTAAAACCAATTTCAGTGAAAGAGGGGGAAAAAAATCTTAAGAGAAAAAAATAATTTTGGAATCAGAGCTGTGGTAGGGAGAAGATAATGCTTGGTTCTTCACTTTAATGGCGCGGCTAGATGATTATCTAGTAAGGACCTTTCCTCGTTGCTTTAAGGTCAGGTGCTGTTGTTGCTAGTGTGTGTGGTGTGTTCGTGGGACTGTCAGCTCACTGTGACCCCAAGTCCTATAGTGTATGCCTCTCTGAAGGCAAGCAGATGCATAACACAGGTAAATGAGCCAACCCATTTGAAATCCCTAGTCACATGGAGCAAATCTGAGTAGCTTCTAAGAAGGCTACAAGAACAGTGGATGCCAGAACCCCAGCTCTAAACCCCCCCTCCCCCACTGAAGGTCCACTGACCTTTTGATGACTTGTGACTTCGTCCCGCGTTCTCCCCAGCTCCTCGGCAAGTTTGACGTTCTCTTTTTGCAGTGCTGAAAGCTGCTGGGACTTCTGAGCTGCTGCCTGCTTTAAGGTTTCTCTGCAAGGACAGTGAGTGCAGGGTTACCATAGAAACAAGACAAGCAAGGAAACTGTGGGAGACAACAGCTTCACAGCACTGAGGAAAATAGATCTGGGTCACGTGCCCAATAAGATCTATAATACCAAGAGACCACATTATCTACATGAAGGAGAGGTCACGTTTTAATCTCTCAAAAAGAGATTGGCTGCCCATAATTATGACATTTTAAAAATATCCAACAAACACTGTCTCTACTCTATGACCGTCCATACACCACAGAAAAGCAAACTGCTATAAAACAGCTGACAAATGACATGATCAGCACAGCCTTCATCCTTCACTTCTGTGTCCGTGAAATAATTATACCAGAACCCACTACGGCCATAGTGGTTTAATGGGCTGCCGAGGCACTCTGTTTCAGAGGCACAGATCTTTTCATCTACTTTTCTCTTGGTGAAATAAAAATCCAGTGGTCCCATTTACCAGTGTCCATCCCAGTCAGGTGCCGTTGGGAATTCTGAGTATATTTTTAGGACAATGGGAAGTGAAATGCCCAAAGGAATTTTTTTTTCCTAACCAAATAGCAGTTATTTGATGGTATTCTTTCTACACTGCTAACTGCTAATTAAAAGAAGCAAATAAAACCATAACACAACCTACCAGATAAGTCGTATCATAATGCCAACACAAACAATAAGGTAGACATTATTAGGCATTTTCTCATTATTAAAATTAACCTAAACATACATTCTGAACTATTATCTTTTACATATGGCTATTCAAAATATTTTTACTTAATCACTAGATTCTAGTTTTATGCCATAGAAGATTTTGAAGCAATTTTGAGCTTTAAGTAGGTCTATGCTGGGTAAACTCTACTTAGCAAGCTGTCATACGTGGCTGGATTCTGAATCTAGTCATCTGGGTATGAATCCATCTGCTGATGCATGAACGCATCTATTTTTAACTTCAATTGTCTAATGGATGGCAGTGCTTGGCATCTTCAATGCTCTCAATTTTTAATTCTCCATCTAACTATATAATATGTACTCTATGATGACCTCATGAAGATTTAGGAGAATAAATCTATACAATTCTCACAGCATACTAAATTAGAACTTTTATAAAGATGTGTATTTAGTAAGTACCAGAAATGGTTTTAACTGTAAATCTATTAACCCATCTGCCCACTCGCATATCTAGATATTGCCAGTTAGCTTTTGTCAGCTTGACACAAACCTAGACATGCCTGGGAAGAGGGGCGCCCAACAGAGGAACCTCCATCAGAGTGGTCTATGGGCATGTCCATGGGACTTTTATTGTTGACTGATGTAAGGGGTGGCAGCCCACCATGGGCAGCACCATCCCTGGGGCCAGGTGGTCATCTGCTGAGTAAGGAAGGAAGCTGAGAATGAGCCTGAGAGTGAGCCAGTAAGCAGCGTTCATCATTGCTCTCTGCTTCTGACTTCCCTCAACGATAGTCTGTGACCTATAAGCCAAATAAACCCTTTCTTCCCCAAGTTACTTTTGGTTGTGGCATTTATCACAGCAAAAGGAAAGGAAACTAAGAGATACTCACACAGACACACCCCCCCCATAGCTTAAGCACACTGACTGGTTAATTAATTAATTAAATCCATTAATACTTGACAAATAAGATTTTATTTATGAGGAAACCATCATAAACTAAATAATGTATTTCTCAGGTTGTTGCTGTGGAACAATCTTTTTGTACACTGTGAATATGTATTACTTTCATTAGCTAATAAAAAGAGATTGGCTGATAGCTGGGCACAAAGCAATTGAGTATGAGAGCCAGACTAGGAGAATTCTGGAAAGAGAAAGGGTGGAATCAGACGATTGCCAGAAGATGCAAAGAAACAAGATGAGAATGTTGTACTGAGAAAAGGTACCAAGCCACATGGCTAAGCATAGTTAAGAATTATGGATTAATTTAAATGTAAGAGTTAGCTAGTAACAAGCCTGAGCTATCGGCTGATCATTTATAATTATTATAAGCCTCTGAGAAATTATTTGGGAGCAGGCAGTCAAAACAGGAAACATTTGTTTACAGGTTGTCACTGACTTCATAGTTACTTCTTTATTAGTGGGGGTTGGGGGGTGGCGCATGCCTTTAATCTCAGCATTCGGGAGGCAGAGGCAGGTGGATTTCTAAGTTTGAGGCCAGCCTGGTCTACAGAGTGAGTGTCAGGACAGTCAGGACTGCTACACCGGGAAACTTTGTCTCAGGGGGAAAAAGAACTTTTCTATTTATTGATACACGGTCTTTCTATTCTTTTAAAGCCAACCTTGACTTTGAAATCTTGCTGCCTTGGCCTCCTGTGTGCTGGGATTACAGTGTATGCCACCATACCTGGTTCATCAGCAGTGATACTGTGTTCCTCTTCTGCCTCTTTTTTTCTTTCTCATCATGCACACATAAATTTTAGTCTTATAAAGTTTTTGAAAACACTGTTTTAAAGAACATACAGTGAGGTCGGGTGTAATAGCAAATGCCTTTAATCCCAACACTCAGGAGGCTGAAGAAGGTAGATCTCTGTGAGCCTGGTCAGCCTGATCTACATAGCATGCTTTAGGACAGCATGGCTGTAGAGAGAGAGAGAGATCTTGTCTCAAAAGAACAAACAGAAAACTAAAAAGAACATTCTGTGGGGCTGGGGATGTGGCTTAGTGGTACAACACTTGCTTAGTACAATCTCCTAAAAAGAAAAAACAGAACCGCAGTAAAAAAAAATTCAAACAAGAAGCCAAAGTTATTCAATAAATGGCCACTGGGGCTCAGCAGCCCCACAGGAGTCTGAGGACTCAGTTCCCCAGAACTCATGTAAAGACGGAAGAGAAGCAACTCCACAGAGCTAGGTTCCATCTCAAATACCACAAGAAATAAACAAAAATTTCTAACAACTTTGTGTGTGTGTTCATGGGCACATACACAAGTGTGTGTGCATACACACGCGAGGCCAGAGGTCCATGTGTCTTCAATTCCTTTTCGTCTTACTTTACAAGATGGTTCTCTCACTGAGCCTGGAGCTTGAGGATCAGCAAGATGGCACTAGCAATTCCCAGGAGTGTTCCTACTTCTGCCTCCCCAGCATTGGCACTACAAATGTGTACCAGTCAATTCTAACATTTTACTCAGGTACTACGGGTCCAAAGTCAGCCTTCATGCTTGTATTGCAACCATTTCACTAACCATTTTGGCTAACCCAAACCAAGGGTTCTCTTGGAGCACCTCTAGCCGGGAGCATGGAGAAAAGCCCTGCATCACAGCTGCTGGGTTCCAGCTGGAAGAGCAGTGGCTACGAGAGGAAGCTCGGTCAGAACGCTGCAGCTGCTCTGGCCCAGTTCCTCTAGGCAGCACAGTTCCATAAGGTGAAGGCATGGCCAGCACTGTGTATTTGTCAAGTCACACACACTCATACACAAGCGCACACACACATATACACAGGCAGCTGCTCATTCTCTAGCTTTAGTCACTGAAGAATGCAACTAAGGAATGCACAGTGAGCCAAGAAGTGTGGTTCCCATGACACAGTCCTTTGAGAGCAGATGGCCTTGCCTTGAAGTGTGGCCAAGACAAGGGCAGAGTCACAGGTCAGGGCTTTTCACTGGCTCCCCAGGCCTCCTTCCTCTAGTTTCTATGCAAAGTTAGGATCTAGCCATGGGGTGCCTTGTCGACAGGAAGAGGGAATTTCCTCAGGCCTGGTAGGCAGAGAGAATCTAAAGTAGCCCTGGCACAGGACCTGCCTCTCTCCCTTCTCAGCAACTTCCCTCAGGGCAGTATCAGAAGAAAGATAAAGCCAGGTGGTGGCGGTGCACACCTTTAATCCCAGCACTCCGGAGGCAGAGGCAGGAAGACCTCTGTGTGTTTGAGACCAGCCTGATCTACAAGAGCTAGTTCCAGGACAGGCACAAGAGAAACCAAGAAAGAAGGAAAGGGAAAGGGAAAGGGAAAGGGAAAGGGACAGGGACAGGGACAGGGACAGGGACAGGGACAGGGACAGGGACAGGGAAAGGGAAAGGAAAGGAAAGGAAAGGAAAGGAAAGGAAAGGAAAGGAGAGAGGGAGAGAGAGGGAGAGAGAGGGAGAGAGAGGGAGAGAGAGAGAGAGAGAGAGAGAGAGAGAGAGAGAGAGAGAGAGAGGCTTCCACTACTATGGCAGCAGCTGGCATCAGGGGTGAGATAGGTTCTCACTAGATAGCACTAGCTGACCTGAAACAGAGTAAGCCTCCAGCTTGGCTCCTAATTTCAGGGACTGCAGGCCAGGCATGCACCACATCCAGCTGTAAGGACAACCTTCCACTCCAACTCCCACCCTCACACATGCTAAGCAGGCGCTCCACAGCTGCATGAGCCAGTTTGTCTCTTTCGGCACTGATCCTACATAAATTGGGAAGGGTGACAGGACACGATTAAGTGAGGAATTTAGTGGGCACACTTACCCAAGGACTAGTCCTACGTAACATTCAGTATAAAATTAGAATGCTATCCAAACACAAGAGCTCTCTTGCTTAGACCCACTGTGGCTCTGCCCCTCCGGTACCTAATGTGGCCCAGAGAGAGCTCAAGAGTAGGACTATAGCAATGGGAGACCAGCAACACCTCGGTGTTCCACACTCCAGGGAGCAGAACTACTTGAGTCACAGAGAAAAATTGCTAAACTATACTTAAATCCACCCTGTTTGAATGTAACTAAATGTTAGTTTCTTTGAGTAAAGCATATGTATTCTTATTTATATGTGAATGTGTGTGTGTGCATGAGTGCATAGAAGTGTGTGTGACATGTGGGTGGAAGCTAGAGGTAGACATGGGCTTTCTTCTTCAGTAACTCTCCATTTATGTTTTGAGATAGGGTTCTCCCTGGGGTGGTCTGAATAAAAATGCCCCCCCAAGGGAGTGGCACTATTAGGAGGTATGTTCTTATTGAAGGAAGTGTCACTGGGGGTGATGCTTAAGGTAGGCCCAGTGTGGCATTCTCTTCCTGCTGCTGCTGATCCAGATGTAGAAGTCTCAGCTACCTCTCCAGTACCATGTTTGCCTGAATACCACCATGCTTCCCACCATGATGATAATGGACTAAACTTCTGAACTATAAGCCAGCCCCAATTAATTGTTTTCCTTTATAAGAGTTGCTGTGGTCATGGTGTCTCTCCATAGCAATAAAATCCTAACTAGACACTCCCTTAACCTGGTCTTCTGTACTCTCTATGGCTAATGCTTGTCAACTAGTTGCTGGCTCTGCCCCCTGATCTAAGGTTAATTTTATTACCAAAGTCTTCGAGTTTCACAGTGCAATGAAATATTCCACAATACTCCAGTGCTGTGGGGCAGAGATGGGAGGATCCCTGGAGTTTGCTGAGCATCTCATATAGCTACACGAGATTGAATCTGTCTAAAAGAGAAACAAAGCTCACACAAAGGTAATCCTAGCACTTGGGGTCCCACGCCTTTAATCCCAGCACTAGGGAGGTGGAGACAGGAGTGATATGGCTGAGTGAAGAGAGGAATGTAAGGCAGGAGGAGACATGAGCTCAGGGCAGTCTGAGGTCTGGTGGAGACAGATGGGTCTGGGCACTCTCTAGTGGTTGACCTCTCTGCTTCTTGGATCCTCATTAACCCCCATATCTGACTCTAGGTTTTATTATTAAGGCCAACTAGAATTCGTGCGACAAAGTTTTGTTTGTGGTGATGGTTTTTAGACTTTTTTAGAGACGATCTCCATATCTTGAGTTGACCTGCAGCTTGTTATGTAGCTGAGGCTGTCCTCAAACTTGTCCTCCTGCTTCAGTATCTCAAGTGTGGGAACCACAGGTGTAAGCGCCCATACCTAGTGTTCAATCCAAGACTGAAAATAAACATACTGAGGCTGATGGTACAGTAACAGAAGCTTGGAACCAACCCCTTTAATTTTGCTTGGATATGACCTATTTATTAGTTATAAATGATGTAGAGCCCTGAAGGTAGGAAACAAGATCCTTCTGCACATCCTTCTCAGCCTAATGGTTTCGTGTGTGAAGGACACATGAACTCACCAGATTAACTGGCTCTGGCTCTCTGGGTTCACAGTGGATAGGGTGCAGTTATCAACTGAAAGACCAAGTGAAATCTATACACTGACCATCACTTACAGAGCCACATCAGCACCAATCTCTGGCAAGGGCTTGGGTGGGATCACCATAGGAAACACAGCCACCTTGAAGCTAGGCAGTAGGCTGATACGAAAAATCCCAAGAGAATGTTTTCCAGTAAAGAGAATTATTGTCTGTGTCAGAAGACTGGATTACTTTCAAAATCAAAGTATTGGAGATAGAGACTCAAGACATTGAAAATCTTGAAAATGATATACTGAGTTTTTATTCGTTTTCTTTTTTCTTCTTTCCTTTCCTTTCTTTTCTTTTTCTTTTTCTTTTTTTTTTTTTTTTAAGACAGGGTCTCACTCTAATGCCCAGGCTAGTCTACAATTTACCATGTAGGCCAGGCTGGCCTTTAATTTACAACAACTGTACTGTCTCAGTCTCTCTTAAGTACTTATAGAGTTATAGGCATGTACCAAAATGTCTGACTTCTTTTCTATTAAAAAAAAAAAGTTTTGAAGGATTTATTTTCACTTATTTAATCCCCCCCCCCGAGATAGGGTTTCTCTGTGTAATTGTCCTGTCAGTCTTAGAACTCACTGTATAGACCAGGCTAGCCTTGAACTCACAAAGATCATCTGCCTCAGCTTCCCAAGTACTGGGGTAAAGGTGTGCACCATTATGCCCTACTTTTGAAGGACTTAATTAATAAAAAGATCTTACAGTTCTACATGTTATAACTAGTTATCATGTAAACATACAAATTTACCTTTGATACATGGCCATCCATATATTTCTATAGCTTTACAAAGTCAGATTCAAACTCCATGTTTCTTACTTCAGCAGCTAGCCCAGTTCCCTTTGATGTTCAGTTTAGCTGTGGTTCTAATGGTGGTTACTGAACTTGCTTGTGAGGAATGCATTTTGGGGAACAGATAGACAACTACTTTACAAACCTTTCCAGCACTTTAAAAATAGTTAGTATTGCTTTCCTTTTTAAAACTTACATTTCTTTTTTGAATTCTTCCATTTTCTGATTCTCTACATTCAGAAGTTCTTTTGATTTGTTCAGCTCTTCTACATTTTTCAAGTTGTTTTCTTTAAGTGTGTCCAACTTAAAGACAAAGAAAAAAAATTGATGAATTTATTTCATTTTTCAGTGACATGGCTGGATAAATTATTCACAAAAACATGCAGTTAACAATAGATGAAATTAGTCATCTGTCACAAGCGACAGGAAGTCATCTGGAGAAGAGACTACCCATGACAAGCTGGTCATCCTCTTCCTTCAGTCCCGTACGTCCTGGACACCTGGCCAAATGCAAACTAAATTACCAGTGTACATTAAAACAGAAGTTTCTTTAGTCTGTGTATTTTGGTTGTTTGTTAGTTTCTTGTACAGTCCTCAATACTTGCCACTGAAGATGCCATTCAAAACAATCCCTCTTTAAAAAGCAAGAAATAGGGGACTGGTGAGATGGCTCGGAGGTTAAGAGCACTGACTGCTCTTCCACACACAGATCTTGAGTTCAATTCCCAGCTACATGGTGGCTCACAACTATCAGTAGTGAGATCTGGTGACCTCTTCTGGCCTAAAGGCATATATGCAGGAAGAACCCTATATACATAGTAAGTTTTTTTAAAAGCAAGAAATAGATTGTCAAACAGCAACATTATCAAGAATCAATCTTTGAGCCAGGTGGTGGCACACACCTCTAATCCCAGCACTTGGGAGGAGGCAGAGGCAGGCAGATCTCTGTGAGTTCAAGGCCAACCTGGTCTTCAAGAGCTAGTTCCAGGAGGACAGGCTCCAAAGCTACAGAGAAGCCCTGTCTCGAAACACTCCCCCCCCCAAAAAAAATCAATCTTTGTAATCAAACAAAAATCGTCCCCCCACAACTGACTAGTAATGTAGGAGATATTTCCAATCAATGTCACTTCTAAACTTATGCAATTCTCATTACAGAACTTATTTATTTGAATCAACCATTTGTCAGTTAGGGAAAATTGTTATCCATCTTAATTTCTATGAGGAGGAAGAAGCCATGCAGTGAGATTGAAGGGTGCTCATACATACTCCATCTTAGCCCTGCCTGCCCTCTAGTGGGGACTTCTAGCAAAGGTGTTATCTAACAAAGGATGGAGCTTGTTCTCTCCATTCTCCATACAAGGTGTGGTTCTGGGGCCAGGCTAGTCACCTGGGCTTTATGTCCTTATCTCTTAGAGTCAGAGAATGGAGTTGTCGCTCTTGGTCATGTCATATGCCATCAACCAGAAACCCAGAAGCAACATGCTAATTTTAACATCACCACCTTCCTTTTAATATTCTTTAAGAGCCTGGATTTATGAACAAAGGAAACAAAGCACGGTAATAGGCACATGAAACAGGTTATCCGCCTTATGATCTGGCAACAACAGATACACTGAGGGAGGACACAATTCTGCCTGATCCCATCCTCTAGGAAAACTGTTTTCAGGCTTCTAATTTTAATTTGCATCTGAGTGCACTCTCTGTAAGCTTTTATTTACCCTCAGTACCTCAAATGTCTTCATGAAGTTATCCTGCCTGGCAGTCCCTTCCTATGAACAAGTTTCTGAATGTCCTACCTGCCTGTGACTTAAAAAGCACCAGGAGCTACATAGAAGGTCACAGAGCACTTTAGTGAGGTAACTGGCTATTCAGATAGCAATTTTTCAGGAAGATGGGAAAGGTCCAAAGGGAAATGCTACTTGCAGATCGAAGAGGGATAACCCGATGGCACAGATTTGTCCCAACTCTAGAAATGACTCATTCAAGATAACACAAAAGGATGCCAAGAGAAAGCCTATATTGGGGCTGGAGAAACGGAATGTGTTGGCACCAAATTAGGAGAAAGTTAAGGGGGAAATGTGTAGGATAAAAAGGAACGATTATGAAAACTTAGAAAATGTCACCACTAAGTAGTTATCTAAGAATGCCACAATATTAGAGCTTCCTTTTCATTTTGGGGGTGGGTTGTTTGTTTAGACAGGGCCTCATGTAGCCCAGACTAACCTTAAATTCCTAACCCTTCTGCAGCGACCTCCCAAGTACTGTATCCATAAGCATGTATTACCGTATCTAGTGTCACCTTGAATTCATGAAGTTTAGTGCATTAAATAATAAAGCAATATATTTTATTTAACATTATCATGGCATGTTGTGCATTCAACTCTAATACAGATCAAACCTGTTTAAGTCCACACTTCAAAAAGATACACTCTTAGGTGACCAAACATTCCATGAAGTTGGTAAGCTTACCTCATTCTGAAGTTTTGCGTTTGTTTGCTTGGTGTCCTCCAAGGAGGCCAGCGTTTCTGTCTTCTCTTTGGTCATCTGTTCCATGATCTGCATGGTATCTTCTGCAGTCTGAGAAGCCTAAGCACAAAGGGACAAAGTGAGGAGGCGAAAAGGGCACTCTCTCCTGCACCATCAGGGACATTCAGAAGGCACTGCCAAGGCAGCTCTCAGAGTCTGTGTGGCTAAGCAGCACACAGAAGATGAGAGGCAGCAACCCTAAGGCAAACCGAGACAGGAAGGGTCTGACTGTGAAGGAGAACAAGGTAATTGACCCTTCCCGTGTCATTTTTCCTGAGTCTGCGCCTCAACCATCTCCATGTTCTCACATCCGTCTAAACCTATGTCCATGCTCCAAGTTCCACTGACAAGCATGAGCTCATCACTCTGACAGAATATTTGGTGATGATGAATAACTACCCTATATAACTGAATGGCTCTTAAACTTATTGGTGCAAGTGTAAAATATTTTTCTGGCTATTTCAATTTGGAGCTTTTGAAATCACTCAATTTTTTTGTTTGTTTTTTTGTTTTTTTTAGAGACAAGGTTTCTTTTTAGCTTTGGTGCCTGTCCTGGAACTAGACCAGGCTGGCCTCGAACTCAGAGATCTGCCTGCCTCTGCCTCCCGAGTGCTGGGATTAAAGGCGTGCGCCACCACTGCCCAGCTGAAATCACTCAATGTAAGCTAAGAATTTTTCATATACTAATATAAATTATTTGGGCAATTATAATTTAAGGCTCAAGTGTTATTCATTCATGAGAAGTACTGAATGGGAAAATCTATGAGAGAAACTGAGTAATGAATATAACCATGTCTATGAATAAAAAAGATTATATATAGGAATAAAAATTCTTAGCTTCTAAATATCAAAAATAATTGAAACTATTTTAAGACATTTGATTATCATTTCATTTGGTGGGCTTAATAATGTTCATGAGAATTTTGTATTATACATGTTCTACTATTAACATGGAGATTTCAGTGGCATCTTCCACCTCCAAATGGACAGACATAATGAATGAAATAAAAGTCAAGTAGCAGACTGTATTTCAGTGTGTACACATTCTAATAGTGCTCTAAAATTGCCAAGAACAGTTAACTTTTACAGTTAATGCTTCGCTTAAAGGGAAAAAAAGGAATCTTTTTTATTCACAGCTCTCAGGTCTTTGTGAAATGGGGGGAGACAACTACAATTAGACATTCAGTGATGAGTCAGCCTTCCTGGTTATAATGAAAAGCTGGACATACACACACAGTTGGCTTACTCAGGTGGATTTCCCTCAGTTGCAAAGCAGAGAAATCACCTAAGCCACTAATGTTTGTGCACTTAGTGAGGAGTCTGGGTGCTCTCAAAACTTGAACCTCTCACTTTACCGTGAATGAATGAAGGGTCTCAAGCTCTCTAATTTTAAGGGTAAGCTTGCTCTTGTCTTTTCTCAAAATACGGTTTTCACTTTGGGATTCTAGGAGGTTGGCTGAAATGTGGCTGTTGGTCTGGGCCAGCTGGCTAATCTCTTTTTGGAGGATGAAGTAGCTTTCTTCCAGCTTCTCCTTCTCCTTCAGGACCTCTTCATTTCTTAGCATCATTTCTCGTTTCTCGGCCAGGAGGTTCTTGTTGTCCTGAAGCACCTCGGCTCTCTCGGTCACCGCCACCTCGTGGTTCAGCCGGAGTTCATCCAGGATCTTGGTGAGGCAGCTGTGTAGTTCTTGCAGTTCCAACTTGGACTTGGAAAGGGCAGCAAAGTCGCTTTTGAGGGTCTCAATATTGGCAGCGAGCTGAGCTGTTTCTGCACTCAGGAGTTCCTTTTCCTTAATGATTTCCACCACTTTTTGCTCTGAGTTGGTCTTTTCTTGGACAAGTGTAAAATTCTCAGTCTGGAGCTGCTCAGTACATGCCCTCAGCCCCTGAATCTCCTCTTCCAAGAGCACCATTCTCCCATGAAGCTTGTTGTTTTCATATAAAGAGGCCTCGTTTTCCTTTGCCCTGGCCTCCTTCTCTAGGATTAAGGTCTGCTGAATTTCACGAATCTCCTCATTTAATTTCTGGCACTCTTCCTGCAGGTTCAAGCCGTCCCTCAGCAAGATGCTCTTCTCGCAGCAGCAAGTCCTCAGCTCGGTGTTCAAGTTCTCCTTGGCTTGCATCATACTAGAATGCTCTTTCTCAAGATTCTTTTTGGCATCCTGAGCCTCTTTCAGCATCAGGGAGAGCTCGCACTTGCTGTTCGCCAGCTCTTGGTTTTCCTTCTTTCTTTCCTGAAGTTCTTTCTTCAGAGCATCTATGTTACTGAGCAGTTTCATCTTCTCCTGCACAATGATTCGTCTGTTTGAAGCCTCTTGGTCATACTTCCTTTTAAGATCTCCTATGGTTTTGATAGAATTTTCCCTCTCAGCAACTAAATCTCCATTCTGCATCTCTAGTGCTGATTTTTCTTTCAAGAGGCTATCCAGCTGCTTTTTAAGCCTAGTGATTTTCTGGCAAGCCATCTCCTTCTCAGAAGTTAAGTACGTGATTTTCTCATTTAGGCTCATCTCAAGATGTGTGGTCTCTTCTGAGTGTTTGCTGAGTTTTTCAGTGATGAGTCTATTTTCACTTAACAGTTCCTCTTTCTCTGCTAGGAGCTTCCTCTCAGAGGCTGCCAAGCTCTCCTTCTCGTGGAGAAGCTGGATACATTCCGAGTCTGTGATTGCCCGACAGGTCTTAATCTCTTCCAGGAGCTTTGTGAGGCTTGCATTGGTGGCCTGGAGCTGTCTCGTGTCCAGTTCCGCCTTCCTCAGTGCTTTGCTGGCACAATCTAGCTGTGTGCGCAGAGTCTCTGCCTCTGTGCTGAGCAGCTGTTTGACATGCAGGGTGGCCTCCAGGCTGGCACTCAGTTTCTCCTGGCCTTGGCGCAGCGTGTCCTTCTCAAACTGCAGGTCTCTGTTGCTCTGGAGGAGGTTCTCCCGCTCGGCCTTTAGGGTAAGGCAGGTGTTATCAAGACTCAGCTGCTTCTCTGCGGCTGATTTTTTCTCAGTTGTGAGCTCATCGATCTCCTGGATCAAGGCCTTTTGATCCTTGACAAGCTCCTCATAAGCGCTCTGAAGTTTCTGAATGACGTCATCTTTGTCTTTGGACAAGAACATATTCTCAGCAGTGAGCTTCTTGACCTGCCCCTCCAGGTGCTCTTTCTCTGCCCGGGCCTTCTCAGACATGGCCATCAGCTTATCCTTGCAGAAGTGGAGCTCCTCGATGAGCACTTGCATGCTCACCTTGGAGGCTTCCAGGGCGTCATTCTCCAGGTGCATCTTCAGGAGCTCCTCCTGCACCACACTGACTTCCTTAAGCAGTTTCTCTCTCTCAACCACCAGGGACTCCTTATCCCGATGCTCCTGCTGATAACGCTTTTCAGCAATTTGCTTTTCTTCTGAGACTTTCTCCTTCTCTAAATGGAGGCTTTCATTTACTGCCCAAAGTTTCTGCTGGTCTTCCTGAAGCAAAGTTATCTTGGTCTCCACTTCTACAAGCTTTGATAAAAGTGAACCTTTCTCTAACTGCAAAGCATTTGTCTCCTGCACAAGAAGCTGCTTCTCTGACTTCAGAGCCCTCAGCTCTTCTGACATTACTTCAATCTCTTTTTTGGCTGATGTTAACAAATGAGTTAGCGACTACAGGGACAAAAGATGGAAAGAACGGGAACAAAATGAAACCAAGCAGACAAATGCAAGCCCAAAGAACTTAATGCGGCCTAAACCATGAAACCTTAGAATTTTCTACAATAAGCTTCATAAAAAGGATATGAATAACAAAGGGATAAAAACTAGAAAAGCACTGCATAAAGGGATAATAAACAGTAAATCTAACTAACTGCCAAGTACATAAAGGGGTAATAAAAGACAAAATTAACTAAAGTGTCTATTAGCTTTTTTTCTCTTTGAAATGATGTGGGAAATCATTTCTGAAAATTTGTTTGGTTTGCACACTAGGAATAAGGCTTCTTTACTGTTCTGTTTGATTGTTTCTATCTCAGAAAAGATTCATAAGTCAGGGCAAAAACAAAAGTCAGTGAGTTTATATTACTCAAAATGAGAGGTAGCAAGGAAAACATTATCAGTGTTGAAGTCCTTCCTCAGTGGGAAGGGAGTCAACAGGCTAAAAGTGTCAGTGCCAGCATCATGGACACGTTACTCAGATGCAGACTAATTTCTAGGCTTTGTTGGCTACAATAAAGTATTTGTAAATGTACTATTTATAAGATAAGCTAATGATGTCTATACTGGTACTACCCAGAATTCCATGGTGGACATTTGACGTGAGCTCTCAGAACACGCTGAATGCACCTAGAGAGCTGAATTTTCTGCTGTACAAATTTAACTTTACACGGCTTTATCTAGCTAGTGGCTCCTGGGTTGGACAGTACAGGTGTGCGGCACTGGCTTCCTGACTCTGGGGCCTCCTGAAGGGATGCATAAAGCCTCCTGACTGCACACAGAAACATACTTGGGACGACACACTCAGGTCTCATCAGACTCTCCAGAGCTGTAACTCACTAAAATCAAGTATGAAATTGAAATTTGAAATTTATGCCCTGGCAATGTGGAAGCATGCATGGGTAACCCGTATATGATGGTTCTGTTGAACTTGTCCATATTGAGTTTCATGGTCTAAGGTAAGGAGGATAAATGATCAGGTCTCTTCCTCAAAATCAAATATTGTGATGACAAATTTGAAAGAGGACTAATCCTGGGATTTTAACCAAAAGGTGTTTATATAAAACCACCAAAGTCAGGACAGCTTCACACAAGACATTAGAAGGTTGTGCCGCAATCTACAAAACTGAAGGCTTAAGACATGGGGGACCATGCAGGTAGCATCAAACATGGGGATCATATCCACCATTAATTGGTTTATCAAGCTGAGGTGTTTTTGAGAAAAGGGGTACAGGAGAAACCTTGGACAGCATGTAGAAGAGTATACTACATGAGTACTTGATGTACTACTATACAAGAGTACTTGATGTGTACTATATCATGGTTCTCTTAATTAATGGAAGGTGTGTGATTTTGTGTTGCTAGTCTGTTCTGGTCCTGGGTTGATACTAGGGCAGGGTAGGCTGGCACTCTACAACTAAGTCACATCCTTAGCCCTAACAAGAGATTTTTAATAGTTTCAAGTTCTCTTTCATAATTCCTTTCTAGTAAATTTGTACATAAACATTTTTCTAATGCATTAAAAATAAACATTTAAGACAAAAATAATTTTTGAGCAATAAAAAGTTAAATCGTAGTAGAAAGGGTAAACTTTACTAAGTTAGCAAAGTCAAAGAATATATTGGGGTGCAGATACAATCCTGACAACATAAGTTGAGATTCAATATACAAAATTCTAACTATTTCTAACTAATAAGGGATTTTCTTGAGTTACTTGAAGAGAGCTTCACAGAGCTGTCAGCAAGTTCACAGAGCTTCAAAGTCCTCTCCAGAGCTCTAGTTCTTTCTATAAGACTCTGCTTGCCAGTTGCTCTCCTCCAGTTCCAATACAAAGCTCACTTGCTTCCCTGGCTTCTGCCTCCTGTTTTTCTGAGCTTTGTCTCTCTTTATCCTAGTACAAGGTGGAGCAAGCTCAGCCAAGATCAGAGAAAGATGCTTTGAGAAACAGAAAATCTACTGCAAGCAGACAGAACCCAGGCAACAGTAAGAGGTTGGAACCACTCGGGACAAGCAGCAGGGGGTGGTGATGGCTACACAGTACATTTATGGGAAAGACCTATAGCCATTACCCTCCCCTACAAGGAAGAGCTGGCATGAAACATTTAAAGCCACAAAAGATGCAGTTTACCACCCTGCCATGCATGCAGAGTTTAACAGGTCACACACGTCACTCAGCCCCTGCAGCCTCTACGCAGACGTAGTTAAGATATAACACAATCACACTTTGAGCCTCAGGACATACTTTGGCTTTGTCGGCCTGTGCTTTCAGCTCCTCCACATCCTGCACCAGGCCTTTGTTCGCCTCTTGAGCAGCCTTCAGTTTTTCCTCTGTGTCCACCAGCATCTTCTGCAGGTTCTGCAGGACTTCTTCATGCTTTGTTTTTGTCTCAGAACTGGCTTTTTCATACTCGGCTCTAAGGTCCTGACACTGGTTGTGGCTTGTTTCCATCTTCTTCTCCTGAAGAACAGAAGGCAGGAGTGAGGCGTCAGGCCACACAGTGACCACCCACCCGCTTTACCAGCAATCCCCTTTGTGTCTCCTTACCAGTTCCAACAATTTTTCCTCCAATTCTTTCTTTTCTTCTTCATGCTTTTTAGCTGCTTCCTGCTGGCTCTGTTCAGCTTTAAGAGTTACTTCCCCAATACTTTTCTGCAGAAAACTTGCGTTTTCATTAGCCTTTGTAAGTTTTAGCTGTAGTTCTTCCACAGATCTAGAATAAGTTTCAATATAAATTGTCAGATAGTTATTTACACGTATGCATATGCAACGTGTACATGTAATGTGCATATATGTATGTGTGTAATCACTGTGTGGCTGTGTATGTTCATGTGTGAGTCCAGGCAAGCATAAATCACAGCGTGGAGCATGGAGGTAAGAGACAACCGTGGGTTCAGTCCCCACCTCCCTTGGACTGGAAGTAGAGTTTCTTGTTTATTGCTCTGCACTGGGAGCTCCCTGTCTCCACCTCCCACTTCACTGTAGGCACTCTGGGGTTACCTAGATACTGGGGATCGGAACTCTCATTCTGTGGGTCAAATACTTTAGCTACTAAGCCATCTTAATAACTAGATTTTTCATTTTTTTTAAATAGATGGCAAGAAGCCAAGAGTCATTTATTTAATGTGTTCACAGTGTGCTGACTGCATATATGCCTGTAGGTCAGAAGAGGGCACCAGATCTCATTACAGATGGTTGTGAGCCACCATGTGGTTGCTGGGAATTGAACTCAGGACCTCTGGAAGAGCAGTCAGTGCTCTTAACCTCTGAGTCATCTCTCCAGCCTCAATTTTTTCATATTTTAAACTAAAGAGTTATACTAGAAAGATACTATGAAAAAACAACTATATCAGATTGCAAAATTTATGAGAAATTATACCTGAAATCAAGACAAATTTAAAAATGAAATGCCTGAAGAATTTTAACAACTGTGATTGTTATAAATACATTTAGAGTAACAACTACTATAACTGCAAGAATTTACAACTCTTTATTAATAGATCAGTAAAGAAATATGAGTTGAGATAAATATATTGGGCCAGGCGTGGTGGACACACCTTTCATCCCAGCACTTGGAAACAGAGGCAGGTAGATTCCTGGAAGCCGAGGTCAGTGTGGTCTACACAGTAAGCTCCTGGGCAGTCAGGGTTATACAGAGATAAATTAGCTCACAACCATCCATGACGCCAGTTTGTGGGAATCTGATGCCCTCTTTTGGCCTGTGTAGGCAGTACATGCACATGGTGCACTTAAATATGTGTAGGCAAAAGACACATACACATAAAATAAAGATAAATCTTAAAATATTTTTATTAAAGGTTTTTAGATCTAAAAAATTTTAGGAAAAATATTAAAAGAAGTAAGTTTCAAATTTTTGGCAGACTAGGTTACCAAAAGTCATTTAAGTGCCTCTTAAGAAAAGAAAATATGGTAATTACCATAAATAATTCTTGTTTAAAGAGGACCAGCTAGGTTCTGTGGAGACAGTAAAGTATTTGCTCTGCAAGCCTATGGGACTGAGTTCAAGTCCCAGAACCCCTGTGAAAAAGACAGGTGTGGTGGCACCCTTACAACCCCAGCACTAAGGAGTCAGAGACAAGTCAATCCCTGGGCTCTCTAGTCAGTTAGTGGAGCCTACTTAACAAGTCCCAAATCACCGAGAGACCTGCCTTTAAAAGGGTTGATGGTGCTTGAGGAATGACTTTGGCAGCTGTCCTGCTTTTGTCTGTATGCGCGCGCGCACACACACAACACACACATGAGTTATATAGCTCCTCATGAATACAGTGAAAGCCTGGGACATCGGCACAGGATCAGGGCTATCAAGTGATTGAGCAAGCACGGGGGAAGCACATGGAATGGTGCTGGCTGGATCTTATTAAATACCTTTAGACGTGGCACCTTCTGGAGGCCCTGAAAACTTACACAGCTGCTTCAGAGCAAAGGGGGCCAAAACAGCTACTGGAGCTGCCAGCCAAAGGCCAGGTCACAGTGACCTTCAACTGTGTTTTGTGGGTGAAAGGCTAGAGAGTGATATAATTTCAAAAACATTAATACTTTACTAAGCAAAATTCTAATGGTTCAAAAATGTTCTCTAGAACTTCGTCTTGTTAAGTATTTGATTTCTATATGACACTATGAAAAGAAAGAGAGAAAAAAACAAGAACCTCAGAATAAGCTGGATATGGTGGCACACACCTTGAACCCAACATTTAGGAGACAAAGAGAAGAGCTCTGTGAGTTCAAGGTCAGCTTGGTCTATACAGCAAATTCCAGGATAGCCAGGTCTATACAGAGAGACCCTGTCTCAAAAAAAAAAAAAACTAACAAAAAGGAACTTAAGAATAATAGATGTGGCTCAGCTGTGAAGCCTCGAGTGAGCCTTGGCTTCTTTTTCGTTATAATGGGAAGCTAGTGCCTTGTGTTCCTAAGTCACTGGAAGATCTACGGATTCTACTGTATTTCTTAACTCTGTCCGATAGACCTCATTTTAGGTCAAACAAGGACTGACAAGAAGGCTCAATAAAAGCTGTTTACTTGCTAAACAAGCCTGATTGATACCTAAAACCCATGGTTGAATTTTAAAAAACAATAACAAACGTTACACAGGTGATTCAAGATACACTGAGGCAGTAATACAGAAAGGAACAAAGCTGGAATACAGATCCAACTGACCTTAGTCCCCAGAAACACACACACACACACACACACACACAAACACATTAAAGGAGGGAAAACAAGAAAAAAGAAACATAAAGCAAAAAGAGTCAAGAATCCTTAAAATAAGACAACATTGAGCCTTTTGTTTTTGAGTTTTGTTTCTATTTTAAGACTGGGTCTAACCAGGAGGTGGTAGTACAGGACTTTAAACCCAGCACCTGGAAGGCAGAGGCAGGTGGATCTCTGTAAATTCAAGGCCAGCCTGGTCCACAAAGTGAGTTCCAGGAGTTGTAGAGCTGTTCTGAGAAACACTGTCATGGAAAAAAACAAAACAATACAAACAAACGAACAAATAAAAACAGTGTCTCACTATGTAGCCCTGGCTGTCCTGGAGCTCACTGTGTAGAATTGACTGCTCTCAAACTCACAGAGATCCACCTGCCTCTGCCTCTCGAGTGCTAGGATCATACCCACCCAGCAGCCCCGAGCTTGCTCTCCAGCAGACATACTCTCCAGCACAGACGTACCTTTCCTTCAGACGCAGTTCATCGTTCATCTTTGTAAGCTGAGAAGAGTTATCTCCTGACATCTTCATCATTTCTGCAATGTCATTTTCTAATTTTTCCTTTGCCTTTACCAGCTGTTCTTCTCTTTCATCCTTCTCTCTAAATTTTGCTTCCATATCTGAATATATCAGAAAAGAAACAGCACTGCTGTGTTAAGAACAAGAAAAGTTTATTGAATGCATCCATATAGTGGGAATATTGCAGACAGCCACCTCTGCCTAGAGGGAAATGCCAGTCTAGCAAAGACAGTAAGTAGAATAAAGAAAGAACAATACATAGGAAGAGGTGAGTGCTGAGGGGAGAGACTGGAAGGAGAGAAAGGATGTTGAAAGGAGAAGGAAAGAGACATAGAACCCTGTGAATAGGTGACATTTAAGTGAAGACCTGAAGGAAGGATAGGAAACAGGAAGCAAGTCAAAGGCCCCCAGCAGCACATGACCTGACAGGTCCAACAAAGCAAGGAGGCTGAAGTGCAGTGGCCGAGAGGAAGGCAAGTCTGAGGCAAACTCTCAGAGATACGGGTTTGATGGGCAAGTCTTATACCTCTACTGAGTGAGATGGCACTGTGTCAAGAAGAAACAAAAGGGTAAGGGTGGAGACAAGGAGCAAGTGGTCATCTATGTGGTCGTCTGTGTGACACTGAACAAGCAATGCAACAGCAGCAGAGAAAGATTCTGACTTTTTATAAAACAGAGAAGAGGAAATGCTTAGGGCTACAGCTCTCAGACAAGCATTCCGCTGGCACAGAGTGACGCAGTATCTGTGTGGCAGGTCTGTTACTGTAATATAAACTCTTTTTTTTTCAACATTTATTAAATTACAAAAGTTTCCATTTCCGCCCCTGTAATTTAAACTCTTATCCTAGACATTCTATTGCATTTAATGGCTTGTCACCAGGCGACATCACCTTACCTGCTAAATTTTCTCTCAACTTCTCCAGTTCAGAAGATAACATGTTAAACTCTTCCTCCTTTTGGTGCAGTTTATTTACAGTATCTATATTAGGATAAAGTTAAAATTATTATATATATATATGTGTGTGTGTGTGTGTGTGTGTACACACATATACACACATTTAACAGGTCACCCAGTGCGATTGGCTTCTAAGCCAAGCACATGCTCATAAGCTCGGAGGACACGGACATTGAAAGCGTCACTGCCAACCACACACTGCGACAAGAGGGGAGCATGAGGCTCCACCGTCTCCCCACATCTGCACATCAGGAGGCCCTGTGCCTTTCCTAGCCATGTCTTTCCTGCTTCCAATCAAAACCCAAAGCTTATCAATAGCAAAATTAGATAAAATCAGTCTTCTCAGGAATACTAAGATTTTAATATGGAACAAGCCTTAGGTCAAAAGAAGAAATGAGTACTTGGCCAGGCGGTGGTGGCGCACACCTTTAATCCTAACACTTGGAAGGCAGAGGCAGGTGGATCTCAGTGAGTTCGAGGCGTGGTCTACAAGAGTTAGTTACAGGACAGGCTCTAAAGCTACAGAGAAACCCTATCTCAAAAAACTAAAAAAAAAGAAAAAGAAAAAGAAAAAAAAGTACTTATTTCTTGAGTGTGAAGATTCAGGAAACCAATGGAATCCAGTTTTTCTGTGCACTGTGTAATTTCCAGAATTATGACATTAGACTAAATTCTGCACTCCCAAACCAGAACCAGCCCTTAATAACACACCCTGAAACTTTCTGATTCAGGGACACACCTTGCATACTTCTCTGAACAGAGAGAGCTTCCTCTGAAGTGCCAGCAAACTTTTCTTTCTGGAGAAAAAGAATTAAGAGATTCATCACACAAAGATCTCAGGTGACAAAGACTGAACATGTCTATCAATTACAATGCTACCTATTTTTGCAGCTTGTTTCATTAAGGTTATGCACTTAAAACATGCAGGCACCGATGAACTACCAACTGTGTACTGTACACATGTGTATACACATGAGTGGGTTTGCATTTGCATGTATGCAGGTATGTCTGTACACACATGTATGAATGGGCATATACATGTAAGTGTACTGCAGGAACATGCTGTGTCATGACTAACCCTCCAAGATCTGCCTTCGCCTCTGAAATCTGCCTGAGGAATGGGGATGTAGCTCAGTGGCATTGGTCTTGTCTAGCAAGGGCAAAGCCCTAGGGGGAATTTCTTGTAAAAAGAAAAAAGGGAAAGAGAGAGAGAGAGAGAGAGAGAGAGAGAGAGAGAGAGAGAGAGAGAAAAGAAACACAAAAATAAAAAAAAAAAGCAATCTGCCTGAACAATAATCTGGGTTTCTTCCCTCTGAGAGTATCCAGAGAAACTGAACTAAATTCAAGCCTAATATCTGTCTGCAACTTTATAAGCAAAATTGCTTCATTTGTCACCTACTGTTAAAGGTCTCCTGTTCTAAACATGACAACAAGCTAAACTAAAAGAACTTCTCTGGTTTTCCTGGAATAAATTTTGAAGTAGCTGTAACAAGGAATCTTTTAAAAGAGTTACTGATTTGATTTTTATGTGTATCAGTGTTTTGCCTGGATGTATGTCTATGCACTACATACATGCCTGGTGCCCACAGAGGCCAGAAAGGGGCTATCCTACCCCCTGGAACTCGATTAGTGGATGGTTGTGAGCCACCATGTGGGTGCTGTGAACAGAATCTGAGTCCTCTGAAAGAGCAGCCAATGCTCTTAAACACTGAACAAGTTCTCCAGCATCCCAAAGCCATTTTTTAATGAGTATTTCTAACAGGGACTATTAAAAGATGAGCACATAAACTAGCATAAGCCTACAGAGTACCTATTTATATCACCCACAAAGCCAGGCTTCCATAGGCATGCTTCCAAGAGCATGTAGAGGAATATGCTTGCATTGTTTTTTTGGTTTTTAATGTAACTCTTGAAATTTTAGAAGACAGGGCAGCAAAATATAGTACTTAACACATTTTTAAAGCTTTATTGTTATGTTGGATGTGGTAGCACATGTCTTTAAATCCAGAGGCAGTCGATCTCTGAGTTCGAGGCTACCCAGACCTACAGAGCAAGTTCTACAACAGCTACGATCCACATAGAGAAACTCTGTCTTAAAAAAAAAGGATTTAGTTATTATTTTTAATTACGTGTAGGTGTTATGTATGTGCATTTAAGTGTGTGCAGGTGCCCTAGGAGGCCAAAGGTGTGCATCAAATCCCCTCAAACTGGAGTTATAGTCTGTTGTGAGCTGTCTGATGTGGGTGCTGGAAACTGAACTCTGGTCCCCTGAAATAGCAACAACTGCTCTTAACCACAGAGCTATCTATCCAGTACCATTTCCTTTGTTTTTAAAATTATTTATTTCCATGTGCATGTGTGTGTCCAAGTGTGGGCACATGCACCATGGTGTGCACATGAAGATCAAAAGATGGCCTGCTGGAGTCAATTCTCTCCCTCTACTACATCACTAGGACTCAGACTCAAGGCTTCAGGCCTCTACCAGCCCACTGAGACATCTCATCAGCCCCTAAAACATTTTCTTAAAGGACTCCAGATCACAAAATAGCCAGATGTAGTGACACAAGCCTTTAGAGTCAGCACTCGGATTGTAGAGGCAGGGGGATCTCCATGAGCTCAAGGCCAGCATGGTCTACATAATAAGTTTCAGGACAGCTAGAGCTACAAAGAAAGACTCTGTCTCAAAAAAGAAAAAAAAATTCAAACCATAAAATAACGATTTGAAGGCCATTTTTTAAAATGTAGTGTACATATTATATACCAGGACTGTCCAACAGAACTTTCTGCAATGTGGCTATTAAGAACAGAGAAATGGAATTGTACTAAATGTTGCAATTTTAATTTACGCAGCTATATGTAAACAGTAATATGATGAACAATATAGCTATTTTTAAAGGTAGAAATCTGGGGCTAGAGAGATGGACTAGTGGTCAGAGTGCTAGTGCTTACTGCCTTTGCAGAGGACCCAAGTTTAGATTCCAGAACCCACAGCCGGCAGCCCAAAGCCACCTATAACTCCAACGCTAGGAAATCTGACACCCTCTTCTCACTTCCACAGGTATTGCACTCAATGTGCACATACCCATTTGCACATTTGCATACACATAATTAAAAAGAAAATAAAATACTTAAGTAGAAATTTGAGCTCATGCCTATAATGCCAACAGTCAAAGACTGAGGTAGTAGGATTGCTGTGTGAGAGCAGCCTGGGCTAAATAGTTGAGAGGATTTCAAATCAGCCTGCTGTACAGTGAGACTGAGAAGAATAGAAAATTGTAGCACAGACATATGCTAAGAAACCACTGTGGGGGCTAGAGAGATGGCTCAGAGTTTAAGAGCACTGAATGATCTTCTAGAGGACCCGGGTTCAATCCCCAGCACCCACATGGCAGCTCACAACCACCTGTAACTCCAAGATCTGGAATAAATGCAAGCAAAACACCAACGCACATTAAAAAAAAAAAAAAAGAACAAAAGAAGAAAAAGAAAGAAAAAAACACTGTGATCAGCGAAGTAGCAGAGCAACAGGGAGGCATGTGGAGCAGCTGGGACAGCTGCTGCTGAGAAGCTACCTAGGTTCTCTGCAAGCTTCCACGAATACCATGGCCCACAATTACCAGCCTCAAGTAAGGTCAAATTATGGTGTAGGAGGCAAAGTGACAAAAGTTTTTGTTTGTTTATTTTGAAAGTCTTACAATTTGGTGGGGTGTTACCTTTGGCCGGTTTTGTTTTTGTTTTTTAAGACAGGGTCTCACTCTGTAGCCTTGGCTGGTCTTGAGCTTGCTATGTACACAAGACTGGCCTGGAACTCATAGAGTCTATCAGTCTCTGCCTCCCAAGTGCTGGGATTAAAGCCCTGTGCCACTACATATTTGGGATTAAGAGGAAACATGCAAAAGCAGTATAATTTCCTAAGGCAGAATATAACTGAGTGGCAATTCAATTAGATAACACCAACAGAAGGCGCTGAAGACCTGGACAGTTGTTGCTCAGTCAAAAAAAGATGCTGAAGGCCATGGTGCAGGAAAGGCTCTCAGTCAGTGGAAGCTGGCAGTGCTGAGTGTGTGAGTGGGAAGATCTATCTCTGTGCTTTGTAAAACCAAGCTGCCAACAACAGTCCAACTGCTTTACCAGAGGAAAAGAACATTTTTTTTTTTAAAAAAAAAAAAAAAGAAAAGTTATCAGGGCTGGAGAGATGGCTCAGAGTGTTGAGAGCACTGGCTGCTCTTCCAGAGGTCCTGGGTTCAACTCCCAGCTCCTCACAACTGTCTGTAACTCCAGATGGCATCAGCCATGTGTGTGTTTGTTGTGCAGACATATATGCAGGCAAACACCTATACACAGAAAAAACAAGCCCCAAGGAGTCTAAATAAGGTCACCCTCCCAAATAAATTAAACTTCAGAATTTTAAAAAAAAAAGAAAAAAGAAAAGTTATCACCTACCTTTAACACGTGTTTGACTTGATCCAGTTCCCTGGAAGGCATTTATCAGCAGCTAATATATTCAATTTATATCCATATTTTTGAAGTAGAAACAACTGCCGTATTTTTTGTTTTTAATGGACAATGTTCTTTTAAATGGAAAAAATCCAGAAACACTGAGGTTCAGATTCCCAACCGATAGGTACTTACCAAAGTCTGGAGTTCTTTTTCCAAAGTTTCCTTCACTTGACTGACTTCACTCAAAGTGTCCCGTAGGTTACTGAGCATAAGTTCTTTTCCCTGGAGTTCTGTGGTAATGCTATTAGCCTAACACACCAAGTTATATGGTACAGAAGCAAATGAACAAAAAAGAAACAAAAAAATGATAAGGAAAAATAAAAGGTAAAAAAAATGAGAAACACAACAAAAACTACACAAAAGAGTTGTTTTTTGTTTGTCTGTTTTAATTCTAAGAAGCTAGTAACTTAAAAACAATCAGTTCAAAGTATGAGTACCTAGAGTTTTTTGGTTTTTTTTTTTTTTTTGAGACAGGGTTTCTGTGTACTCCTGGCTGTCCCAGAATTCTCTATGAAGACCAGCCTGGCCTCAAACTCAGTGTATGTCACATCTAGCCAAAATATGTTAAATTTTACTTATGTGTATGTATGTTTGCCTGTTTCAGTTTATGTGCACCATGTTGTGCATAAGCCTGTCGGAAGACAGAGTCAGATCCCCTGGATCTAGAAACCAAGGCTGGGTCCTCTCTGCAAGAACAGTAAGCATTTTTGACTGCTAAGCTTTCTCTCCAGTCTCTAATGGCTTTTTTCCCTTATTTTTTTATATTTATTTTATTTATTTTGGCATTTCAAAACAGGGTTTCATTGTGTGGCCCATTTATTTTATTTTTTATATTTTTGGTGTTTTGTTCTGTTTTGTTTTTTTGTTTGTTTGTTTTGTTTTGAGACAGGGTTTCTCTGTAGCTTTGAAGCCTGTCCTGGAACTAGTTCTTGTAGACCAGGCTGGTCTCGAACTCACAGAGATCTGCCTGCCTCTGCCTCGCGATTGCTGGGATTAAAGATGTGCTCCACCAACTACCACCTGGCCTCTGATGGCCATTTTTAAAAATATACTACTTTTCTACACCTAAATTTAAACATCAACATGGTCTAAAGCAGGAAGTGCTGGTATTTACTTCCTAAATGAGCCAACTGATCAAATTCACTCCTGATCTTTAAAAACCCTAGTGCCGTATATGTAGCTCAGTAGTAGGGCCTGTGCTTAGCATAGACAGACCCTAGGCACATTATAATGATAGTCTGTATTATTCTGTATATTTGTATACTTAAAATATTTCAATACTTGAGTCATATTTAAAGATCCACTAGACATTAGCAATTAGAACCCAGCTTTCTTCTCTTCTAGTTAACTTGTTTTTCATTGCTATTTCAGAAACACATGCGACTAGAGACAGTCTTCCTGCAGCTACTTTATTTTCAAGTTTGGTTACTTAGCCGACTTTTGTTGTTTATCTGCCTTCACCTCTCCCAGTTTAGCCAGCACAATTTCTTCTTTGCCAATAGCAGCTTCTTCCACAAAAATCATTCCTCACCAGTACCAGAGCCCCCACTAGTGGCAGGACTGGGAAAGATTCCCCTGAAGAACTGAAGCTGATATTTAGCAGAACTTGCTGGCAGGGGACATAGCTGGTAGATATTTTCATTTCCTAATCCTTGACAAGCAGCACATTTATCTAGCTTCTCCATATCCCCAAATAAATCACACAAAAAGGAACGGCCAGAAAAGTAGAGGCCTATGCCTATATTAATCCCAGGACTTGGAAGACACAAGCAGGGGGACCATTGAGAACTCAGGGCCAGCCTGGGCTACAAAGCCAGCCCTAGGCCAAGCTGTCTTGAAAAAACCAAAAACCACAAGGAACAGTGATATAGTGGTACATGTTGTAACCCTGGCACTTGAGAGGAAAAGGCAGAAGGATCATGAGTTCAAGGGCACGAGTTTGAGGGCAGCCTAGGGTACTAAGACCCCCACCTCCAAATGCAAAGGTTGGATGGTGTGGTAGTTTGAATGAGAATGGCGCCATAGGATCATAGATTTGAATACTTGATTTCCAGCTGATGTACTGTTTGGGAAGTATCAGTACGTGTGGCCTTGCAGGAGGAGGTGAGGTTTCAGAAGCCTACACTATTCCTAGGGTCTCTCACTCCACCCCACGCTTATGGATCAAGATGTAAACTCTTAGCTACTGCTCTAGCACCTGCCTGTCTGCCTCCTGCCATGCCCCTAGCCACAATGATCAGGAACTCACCCTCTGAACTCTAACTCCTTCTTTAAGTTGCTTTGGTCAAAGTTTCTTCATCGTGGCATAAAAGTATGGCAATAATGCATACCATACTTACTTCGTTGTGAGCATGACTTATCTTAGTTTGCTAACTTATAGTTAAGAAGCACTCCAGCGTTCATGTTCTGCTTTTATACCCTCTATAAGCAAGGGAATGATGTGGGCAGAAAGGGTTAAAAGGGAGTTTTGTTTTGGTTGATTGTTGATTTGACAGGGTCTCTTTATGCAGTCCAGGCTGACCTGGAACTAAACTGGAAAACCTCCGGCTGCATCATCCTAAGTATTACAGGCACGTACCATCATGCCCAGTCTGAGTTTTTAAGTCAATCTCTCTCTCCTCTCTTCCCTTCATATTCATCTTAACACCACCTTTTTAGGGAGTTAGCTTTATTTAAATAGAGATTTTTTTTAAAAGAAGCTCTATTTTTAAACAGCCCAGAATTAAACTTAAATAGAAGTTTATATCATGACCAGGAGATAAGGTAGCAGATAAGGTTTCCAGATTATAAATCAAAATTCACAGATCTGACCATTATTTGCTCTGATCTCATATAAAAACATACTTGAGATCCTCAGAAGGTATTCTATGATACTCAAGTGGGTGCATCACACAATTCCTGCTAAATCAGGGATTTTGAAGATGAATGACTTCAACTCAAAAGTAACATACAATGAAAAATAACAAATGGAAAAGAATAAAAGTAAAAATGATGGAAGATGTCAATACAAACCTTGCTACTTTCAGCGTTCCTTTCCATTTCTAAATTTTGAATCTGCTTTTCAGCTCCCTCAAGCTGCTGTCTAAGTGTCTCGATTTCCAATTTACCTTCGGAATTGGCTTTCTGAAGTGCATCAAGATCCAAGAGCTTTTCTTCGACAACCTTGAGCTGGGATGTAAAATTATCAATGACCTTGGTTTGTTCATTGTACTTGGCTTGCAGAACCTCTAGCTCCTTTACCTTTATTTCAGCCTCCTGCAGTTTGTTTAACGCGTCTTCCATTTCCACTAGATGCTGGTCTTCTGCACTGTCCAGTCTCGCTTTGATGGCCTCTAGGCTGTCCTCCTTCTCTTTAATGACTTGCATCAGCTTGGTCTTCAGAGTCTCCATCTCTTTTGCGTGAGCAGATCGTTCAGAGTCCTGTTTACTCTGTAAAGTTTCTATTTCGTGCTGATAATCTAGTCTCAGTCTCTCTATTTGTGTCTTTAACTCAGCAAATTCAGCTGAGTCCGTTCCAATCCCTTTGCTGAAAGACACCTTCAACTCCTCCATTGCCTGCTGGTGGGATCCGATGGCGGTCTCCAGCTTAGACTTCCACAGAGCTATCACATCGGAATTTTCCTTGTTGGCGTGGTCAAGTTTGCTTCTCAAGGACTCGTTCTCTTTGGAAAGCTTTTCAGTGGCAGCGTGCAGAGCCTTGATCTCCTTCTGAAATGTCTCTTCCCGAGCTCCAAAGCGGTCTGCCAGAGAAGTCATCTCGTTCTGGTGGTCAGTACGTGTGGCTTCTAGCTTTTCTTGCAAAGCACTTATTTCTTGCAAAAGAGAAAGAGACATATCCACATCCCCGGGAGGCTTACTGGACTCTAGCCTTCTTCGGAGCTCAGCTACTTCCTGTACTCTCAAGGCTAGGTCTTTTTCTAGTTCCATTATTCGGGACTTTTCTGACACTGTGGCCACCTATTAACAGCGGTCATAAGAAACAGAGAGCACTGAAATAGCAAATCACTGATGATTTTCTTAGTTCTGAAGCTCTTTACAAATGCCCCAGAATCAAGCAAAGTCAAGCTGTTGCATGTATTAATGTCTCCCTCACTGAGATAATGTCTTAAACTCAATTCTGGAGGCTCTAACATGGGATTAAAATCTTTAGCAAAATAAATATCAATTTAAAAAAAAGAGAAAAAAATCTTTAGCAAACTTCCACCATTATGAAATCCCAAATGTATATTGAGCTTACCTCACTCCAACAGTATCTGTTTCTCCTCCAAAGACACTTAACCAGGAAGCACTCATTATCTGATAATAAGTTAACAGAAATAGTAGCTTCCAAAGTGCTCAATAACCTGCCTCCTGGAAGAAAGCAAGCTCAGTTGGCCAGTTTTTCTTCCTTCCTTCACCCAGACTGCGTTCAGCAGCACTTCAGGTGCTACTCCATCTGAGGCTGGTGACTGAAGCCTGACCTGTCAGTTAAAGCATGCACAGTCACCAGCAACGTAAGGCTGAGCACTGAAACGTGGCTCATCTGAAGCAGAATGTGCTGAGACACATATCAGGATTTGAAAAGTCAGAGAAAAGCAGACATAAAATATCTTAATGATTTTAATTGTCATTGTATGATGAAATAACATTTTAGATATACTGTTTTTATATTTTATTCAAATTAATTTCACCTATAACTTACTAAACAGTTCATGTGGTTATCAGAAAATTAAGATTCTGTACATGTGGCTTGCATTCTACTTCTATTAGATAAGAGGTATACAACATTATCCATGTTTCATTGAGAAATGCATCGTCCGAAGAATAAAAGCCTCAGTTGGATAATGAAGAATTTATTGGCTTCTAAAAATAACATTAAAAGATAACTTACCTGCAATTATACATTAGACTCTCACAGACAGACCCCTTTCTGGGCTTTTGTAACTCTGTCAACATTCTGACTGACGTACACATCTTGTTTCCCTAACCCAGTGGTTCTCAGCATTAGTATGTATACAATGGAAAGTGTGATTTAATTACAAGATTCTTGCTACTTCCACACACTAGGATTCTACCTGAGCTCTGAAGTTTTAAGGGAAAACACACACACACACTTTCTCAACTTGTGCCTTTTAGTCTAAAAAAATTTTTCTCTACTGCTTCCCCCTAGGCTCTCAGTTTGGTACAAAGAATATGTGTGAAATGGTATCTTACTTAACTAACCTAGGAAACAGCAGGGGATACAAGTAGTTTTAAAATCCCAATGGTCCTAGATTTCAACAAACTTTTTCTATGCTGCCTTTACAGGGACAGAGAACGCAGGACAAGTGTCTTCTGTTTCCTCTGCCCACCCCAGTATGCTGTGATGCTCAGTAAGGTGTCCAGAAAAACAGAGGGAGGGATGCATTGCACAGTCACTGCTCCAGAACTGACTGAAGTTGTGGTACTTTGCGGTTATATATATATATATATATATGCTTGAGATTAATCATGTTAATTCACTTATATTCTGTTCTCAAGAGAGGGGAGGATCCATGAATTTCTTAGATGTAAAGCATCAATGAACCCCTTGCTACAAGGTTACAACATAAGATCATCAAATTCAATAGGTGACAGTTTAGTCACAATAAAATCGCCAAACTGAGAGAGCGTCAATTCAATACTAGGATGACGGTTCTCTATGTGGCGTTTTGTCACTTCTATTGTTGCAGCTCTGCTGGTTTATGGCCGTAGTCAGGAGCTGTCTCTGATATTTGCTCACGTTTCTACAGCACCAGGTGAGTGGGTATGAACCGGACTTAAAGCGTAGGGAAATTCTAAAATGCTTTCTAAAAAGGGCTGCCAAGTGATGTGGGGATTTGATGGACCACTGGTTATTTTCACACTTGGCATACCAAGAGTGAGGACCAATAGAAGACGTTGTTATGGAGGGCTGTAAACTCTAATTTGAAATGGCTGCAGAAGTCCATTTGCAAATGGATTCCTTACTATCCAGCAGAAAATGGTAAATTTGTCTGCTGACAAAACTAAGACATGGGTTTAGAAGTTAAAAAAAAGTGTATTTCCTTACTTCAGTCACACCAAAGGGTCTCTATCTCCTAACCCCCATGGATTTCCCAGATCAAGTCTTGCATCCTCAGCTTGTACAGAAATGGTACCAAATTATCACATATTCTTTTCTTATTCTTTCAATTTTTTCCTTACCAAATATGCTGGGAACATTTCGTTAATTTCTGAAGCCAACTAAAACCACTTCTTTCTTCTCTTTTTTGCTTTTGCTTTTTTTTTTTAAATTAATTTATCTTTATTTTACGTGCATTGGTGTGAAGGTGTCAGATCCCCTGGAATTCAATTTTCAGACAGTTGTGAGCTGCCATGTGGGTGCTGGGAATTGAACCCAGGTCCTCTGGAAGAGCACTCAGTGTCCTTAACCACTGAGTCATTTCTCCAGCCCCTGCTTTTGCTTTTTTTAGACAGGGTCTTAACTCTGTACTGAGACTGGCTTTGGTCTGTGTGGCCGAGGCTAGCCCTGAACATGTGGCAATGCTCCTGTTTCTACACCCCAAGTGCTAGGATTACAGGCACGAGCCACTATGCCCACCTTTATTTATCTACTCATTTATTATTTGTATGTGTGTGTATCTGTGCACACACCTGTGTGTCCGTATGTGTACATGTGCACAATGCATATGGAAGCCAGATGAAATAGCAACTGTCTTCCTTGGGCTCTGACCACCTTGGTTTTTTAAGCAGGGTCTCTCATTGACTTGAAGTTTGCCAAGTAGACCAGACTGGCTAGCTACCAAGCAAGTTTCAGAAATCCTGTCTCTGACTCCCCAGGGCTGGGAATATAAGCGTGCACCACCATGCCTGGCTTTTTTCTCCTTGGGTTCTGAGGACTAACCTCAGCTCCTCATGCTTGTAAGACAAGCACCTTACCAAATGAGCTATCTCCCTACCCTCTTCCCTTCATTAGGAAAAAAATTTATGATTGAGAAAAGGAAGATTATTCATTTGTCTAATTTTTTATATCAATGATTTCACACCAAAAGAATTCTTACAAATACTATTGATTCAAAAGAAAAGTCAGGGTAACAAATTTGATTGGACAGATAAAAAGTAATTTTTTAAAATTTAAAGTTAAGGCCAATCACAGTCAAACATGATTTAACAGGGACATATATGAATCTCTATTTTTACATGTGAGTGATGCTGATTATCTCTTTTAGCACAAATTAAAAGAGTCCATCCTGTAATGTTTAAGAGCAGATTCTGGAGCCAAATGACCTGGAAGGAAATTCTAGCTCCACTATTACTATTTGCTGTATAATCGTAAACAAAAATTTTAACAACTTTGTGCTTAGTGTCCTTGCTCTATAAAAGTCTATAGAAAGATGAGAATAATATCACCTACTGAGAATGCATGGCATGACACTTCTATAGGTGCATTAATATATTAATTAAAACAGGACTGAATCCCAAGCCCCAAAATAATTCATTCTTTTCTCAACACACCTGTTCTTTCTAACCTCTGAGATTTTTAACCTTGGTGACAGAAAGAAGGGAGATGTGAGCTCAGCCATCAAGAGGGAAAAAAAGAAAAGAAAAAGATAATTGGGGGTCAAAGTCCTTATAATATATCATCAAAAAGAGCTAATGTTTTCATTTCTTTTTCTCAACAGGCCGGAGCAAGGGCAGGAAGTAGCGGAATATGAGGACTAGAGGACAACTGAGTGCGTGTGGAAACTGGAGCGCAGTATTTCAAAGTTCTAATGCAAAGAACCTCAAATACAGTTGTGGGTAACCACAGAATTTTTATAGTTTTAAGGTTTCTAATTTGATTTTGGTTGAGTCTTTACTTTTGACAAAATACTTTACATAAAACACCTGCACCTACTTATCACTCTGTGCTCATGAATACCTGAGCAGAACTGAGACCAAACTCAGGCTGAACCACTGGGTCAAGGCTCAGGCCAACAGCAGGCATGTCACCCGATGTGTCCACCACTCACACGCGTGAAGCTGCTTCATTAGATAGTGAAAACCATTACCCTAGTGTCTTCTAACTCCCTCTGGAGTTTGTCAGCTTTGGTCTTTTCAAAGAGCAGGCTCTGTTCAAGCTCCTTAATGCGGGCATGCTCCAGTTTGGTCTGCGTCTGTTAGTAAAAGGGAAGAGGAAAAGAACACAACAGTGCCACCATGACATGCCAGCACAAGAGGAGAGAGCGGCATGCAGGCCGAGCCACCAGTACTTTCTGCCAAAGGATGAACATAAAGGGGAACAGAGAAAGAAACAGGACGGAGCTGCAGGGGAAGAGGGAGTGGGATGGACACTATGAACAAAGGGATGAAGTGGGAGGAGGACATGAGCTAGTCTGCTGAGAAAGAAAAAAAATGGAAAACACATGAGGCAAGATGAAGTTTCAGATGCATGCAGCCAAAAAGATGTTATCTTGATAAGTGAAGTTTATCAGCACAAATTAGGATAGTTAATACTCCTCTATCATCTTCCTTCCCTCCCTCCCGCAACTATAGCTACTTGACATTAATGTATATGTAACTGACTCAGGGACTTCACAAGGTTGTCTGACCCTCAAAAAGATCACCACTTTCACCTATATGTAGAGAAAGACAATGACACAAATCTTCAAGCATTCAATAGGTCCCCAGAGCAGACTGTTGGATCTGGCAAACAACTTGTAATAAAAAAGAGTAGAAGAATCATTTTAGTAAGAAGAATCTGGGCTGGGTGTGGTAATTTAAACCTATAATCACAGCACTTGTGAGGCTGAGGCAGGAGGATTACTGCCAAGTACAAGGCTAGCCTGGGTCAACATAGTGAGTTCAAGAGCTGTGCTATCGGGTAAGACCTTGTCTCAAAAGAAGAATTATATATGAAGGAACAAGCCAGGCCGGCAGTGTCTGCAGAAGTGGGTGAGGGGCTCTGGCTGAGGTTCTCTACAGCAGAATACAAGCTGCAGAAGCTCTGATTGCCTCCCAACCAGGATTTTTCAAACGCTTAATTGTCTGTGGAGAAGAGGGGAGGACTCAAGATTACAAAGACAATATATAGTAACGATTACCTACCATTGCCTCTTCCTCTGAAAAAAGTCAACTAAGAAGATCACAGCAAAAGAAAAGCTACACTCCAGATGTAAGGGACTTATTTTTATCCTAAAATGAAGTCATTCCTTACCAGCTCAGAAGACAGGAAAGGATGACAATGCAATATGAGTGGGATCCTCGGAACCTCACACTCACCATGACTCCCTTTCCACAAACTCAGTTACCTGACTGGGACCCAGGGGGTTCGTTCTGCCCAACAGGTTCAAGTGTGGCCGAGTCTTGCTCCACTTGAAATAATCCTGGTAGTAGTCTTAAAGTACTTCCTCCACCATCTCTCCTACCCAACTTGTCACTAGGACAATTGACTGACAATATCAGGATTAACTTAAGATATCAATCTGAACAATTATGGGCAGTGAGAAAATTATAACAGGTCATAACAAAGTGACACCTGGCAGTATAGAGCCTGAGTAGACAGTCCAAGTTATGAACATGTTCGTTGGTATTCTGGTGACTGCAAGGCACTCAAGGGGTCACTTTGTTTATGAACCAGGCATAAACAACCATTACAGGATATTTATTTATTTATTTATTTATTTAGATTTTTGAGACAGGGTTTCTCTGTAGTTTTTGGTGCCTGTCCTGGAACTAGCTCTTGTAGACCAGGCTGGCCTCGAACTCACAGAGATCCGCCTGCCTTTGCCTCCCAAGTGCTGGGATTAAAGGCGTGCGCCACCACCGCCCGGCCTATTTAAAAAGTGAGCAAAAAACATTTTTTTGAGACTGGATCTCACTATATAGTACTGGTTGCCCTGGAACTCCACCTAGAGCAAACTGGTCTAGATCTCAGAGATCCAACCGCCTCTACATCATGGGATTGAAGGTGTGCACCACCATACTCAAGATAGAAAGTTTTTGTTTTTTGTTTTTTTTTAAAAAAACATTCTTCACTTACACTTTCTATATTCTGTTGTCTGGACAGTTCCCTGCATCCATGTGTACTGCAGAGAAGCAATTGATACTCTTCTTTTACAAGAAAATAACTTAATCCAGATCTATGTAGTTACAGTTATAGCTTCAGGAATTCAAGCTCAAGGAAAAGGTCACTCACTATGTGCAGATAAAAAACAAATATCCAGCCAGGCATGGTGATGCAAGCCTACATAGTCCCAGCACCCGAGGAAGCAGAGACAAGGAGATAGAGGCCAGGTTATAGAGCAAATTCTAGACCAGCCTATTATTCCATAGCCAAACCCAATTTTTAAAATAATAATTAAAAAAAAAGCCAAGAGAGCTGGTTTTGACTAGTTCCAGCACTAAGCAGCTTGAAGCAGGAGGATTATCACAGGTTCAAGAGCATTCTGGGCTACAGAGTAAGACCTTGTCTTAAAAAAGAAAGAAAGAAAGAAAGAAAGAAAGAAAGAAAGAAAGAAAGAAAGAAAGAAAGGGAAAAAGGAAAAAGGAAAAAGGAAAAAGGAAAAAGGAAAAAGGAAAAAGGAAAAAGGAAAAAGAAAAAAAAAGAGCCAGGCGGTGGTGGTGCACTCCTTTAATCCCAGCACTCGGGAGGCAGAGACTGGTGGATCTTTGTGAGTTCGAGGCCAGGCCAGTCTGGTCTACAAAAGCTAGTTCCAGGATAGGCTCCAAAGCTACAGAGAAACCCTGTCTCACCCCTCCCCCCCAAAAAAAAGAAAAGAAAAGAAAAGAAAGAAAGAAAAGAACCTGGAGGTGGTAGTGCGCGCCTTTAATCCCAGCACTGGGGGTTGGGGCAGGGGGACAGGAGCAGGCAGATCTCTGAGTTCGAGGCCAGCCTGGTCTACAGAGTGAGTTCCAGGACAGTCAAACAGACAAAGCTATACAGAAAAACTGTCTCCAAATACAAAACAAACCAAAAACAGAAAGAAAGGAAGGGAGGGAGGAAGGAAAGGAGGAAGAAAGGGAGAGAGGGAAGGAGGAAGAGAGAGAGAGAGAAAGAAAAACAAAAAAAATCCATATACTATTTCCCCCATTCAGACCTTCCAGCTGAGTAAAGCAAAGAACCCTTCCCCCTCCCATAGAAGGGGGTGCTCCACAGTGGACTTTTACCAGTAACCCACCTCCATGCCACAGCCTGTGCTAAAAGTGTGACACTGAACAGGACAGCCCTTTGAAATGATTGCTTTCTGAGACAAAGATGTGGCATCCCAAGAGGAAAATCTTGGGATAAGGGCTTGGAAGGAGAGCAAAGGCCTTGCAAGAAGCACACAGAGAGGCAGGAGGGAGGTCCCATGCACACTGACACTGGAGGCAACAAAACCTGTTCTGGATGGAGAGAAGAGAGAGACCCAGATCACTGAAGTAGCTTCGCAAAAAGGAACCCTCATCAAAATGTTAATGTGAGTTCTCTATCTCAGTCAATAGGTAGTCAGAGAAAAAGTCTTTGTTTTGAGTCTGTTCCTCTGAACCGGAAAATCAAAGCAAGAGGTTTCAGGTCTTCTCCATTGGTAGCATAGCTGGTAGTGTGTACAAGAAGCAGTGTTCTGGAGGCCACTTTGGTAGTCTATTCTGGGGGAGGAATCTCAGAAAGAAGAGGGAGAACCAGCACCACACCTGGTAGCACTGCTGCTAGGAAAAACTCCCTCGATGACAGTAACTGAAAATATTCTGCATATTTAGGGAGGAATAATGGCCTCTACTTGCAGACAGGAGGAATAAACACAAGCTGGGATTTCTTATTGGCTACACTGGTGAGCAGTGGGGAGCATGCACAAAAGCAACTGGAAGCATCTAGGCTGGGGTCAGGAGGTCAGACTACTTGGAAAGTATCTCCCAGCATTTCCACAGCTCTCAGCTCAGGTGTTCATGCTTCCCTCACCATCATCCCTTTTGAAGTAATTCTACCAAAATTAGAAAACATAATGAATGAGGTGAAGGAGGCTGTGCTCTCATACAATTTCTTTCCTATTTAGTAAAAGGTCTTTAAAAAGCAAATATTTACCTATAATTAAACAGATTAATCCACAGAATTTAGTCAGTACATACAGTTTCTTAAAGATACAAATGCACTTGCTCTGAAAGCCACATGCACAGCAACACTAAGGGGAAAGTCCCAAGGTCAGATTATGCAGTTAGTATTTGAGTGTATCAATAAGCACTTTAATCTGGACCAGTCTGAGTTAAGGGAAATACCCACACAGTTAAGTGCCCTCTTACATTCTCAGGATCTTCAGAAATCTGGCTCTTTTGCTATCAGTAAAAAATAAAAATAAAAAAAGGAAACAAAAGAGATTCAACTAAAGTTTCAATCTGTGTTAGGGCTTCAATATAACTTTGATTAATTTCAAGTAAGTTTATCAAACAGACTATACTAACCTACTGCTAATGTAAATATTTTAACTCAACCTTTTCCAAACTCGAGAGGAGGTAATTCTCATGAATTAGATGGTGGTATGAAATTTCTAATGAGACTTTGGGGTGTTTTTAGATGGATGACAACAACACAAAAGCCAACTAAAGGATGCAACTATATATGAAATGAGTGAAGAAGGTTTCTATTAAATTATTAATAAGCCATTAAATTCTAGACCTTAAAAAAAATCACAACTCAGAAACTGTTCCCTTTATTCTTTATTGACTATAAAAATATATCTGTTTCCAAAGAAATCAGAGCTCCTGTTTGGAAGGACTCCTTAAATTTAAGCCAACAAACTCCAAAATCTTGATGGTGGCAATCAAACAACAACAAAAAGAAACCAAACAACAACAATAAAACACACACACACACACACACACACACACATATTGTCTGCTGGGCATGGTGGTGCACGACTACAATCTCAACATCTGGGAGACAAAGGTAGGAGGATTGCTACAAATCTGAGGTAAGCCTGACTTGAATTGTAAGTTCTAGACCAGCCAGCTACATAGTGAGGCCATGTCTCTAGGTCCACTCAATATTCAAAGACTGTATAGAGAAGTACAATTTTTACAAAATGCTATGAAGAATCTTACAGAATCTTCAAATTTTGAAAAAGTTAATAATTTATATTTGTCATATATGTGGCAGTGGTTTTAAAAGCATCCAAACCATTTACCAGCAGTATCTAATTCAAAATTAATGAGTAATTGTTAAGAAGATTTTTTTTTTTGGAGTCTGTCCTGGAACAAACTCTTTTAGACCAGGTTGGCCTTGAACTCACAGAGATCCCTCTGCCTCTGGCCTCTTTCTCCTGAGTGCTGGGATTAAAGGCGTGCACCACCACTGCCTGGCTGAAAATGGGTGACTTTTAAGTATGCCATAAAAATGGCGTAAATTGCTCCTGGTTTTTGCTTTGGTAACTACATTATTTTAAAAAGAAACCATTTAATCCCTGGCACCAATAAATAAATAAATAAATAGATAGATAGATAAATAAATAAATAAAATAAACTACGAGAACACACTGCTTATTTTTAGTGTTATAAAGGATTTATTCTGCCCAACTACAGAACAAAGCAGAGACAGAACAAAGATGCTTTGCTATGCACTATTATGTTGAAACTTAATTTTTTTTACAATGATATTTCCAGCATCTGAGGAGCAAGTAGAGTCTTACTAAGACTGTCTTAAGACACACTGCCAGATTTATGACTTGATTAAATCCAATTAGCTTCTAATTTGAAGCACGAGAAGAGTGCTGAACATTTTAATTAATGCATGGATTAAGGATACTGCAATCACAGGTGCAAGAACCAACCATCCTCAGTACAACCCAAGTGACCAGAGGCAGGATGCCCGACATCCTCTAGACCAGCTGTTCTAACAAGGATCGCTGGCCCAGTGTATCACTCATATTTCTCAATACTGGCATCCATAAAGGCTTTAGAGAGCTAGAAGGGTTTACCTCAAGATCACCTTTGGTAATTGATTCTTCTTCTACTCGGAACTGAAGGTCCTCAACCTTCCTGTGAAGTAAAACCGAAACAAAGCATTGAGAAAAGTGCTAAGGAATACCTTACCCCACAGCAGAATCCTTGATGAAAACAAACACCGTAGAGACATAGGTAATAAAGGTGTGTATCTTTAGAGCACTAGTGTAGAAAAGCTGTGCTGTAGTTATTTAGAAATTCCAAGATTTTATCTAGGTATCAACTCTAGAAGGCATTAGGTAAAAAAATTTGAAAAGTAAAAAAAAAAAATCAATTGTTTCCCTTGGGCATACATACCAGAATGGATCAATCAATCAAGATCAGATCAACCAGGGGGCTGGAGAGATGGCTCAATGGTTAAGAGTACCGGCTGTTCTTACAGAGGACATGGGTTCAATGCCCAGTACCCACATGGCAGTTCACAACTGTCTATAACTCCATTTCCAGAGAATCTGCCACTTTCACTCAGACATACATGTACTCAGTGCACATTAAAAAATAAAGTCGGGACTGGAGAGATGGCTCAGTGGTTAAGAGCATTGCCTGTTCTTCCAAAGGTCCTGAGTTCAATTCCCAGCAACCACATGGTGACTCACAACCATCTGTAATGAGGTATGGTGCCCTCTTCTGGCCAGCAGGCACACACATAGACAGAATATTGCATACATAATTTAAAAAAAAATTTAAAATAAATAAATAAATAAGTCTTAGCCAGGTTTGGTAGCACATTCCTTTAATCCCACACTTGGGAGGCAAAGGCAGAAGGCTCTCTAAGTTCAAGGCCAGCCTGGTATACAGACTAAGTTCCAGGATAGCCAGAGCTACAACAGAGAAACCCTGTCTTGAAAAACAAACAAATAAGATTAAGTTTCTTTATAAAGACTAAGGTAAGTGAAACCAGGCTGGAATTTCCTTTAGTGATGCTGACTAAAGCTATCCTCGGGAGGTTTGGCATTCATTGGCAATAAGTATCTCTTAATCAAGCCAGGTCTAAATGATACCAGATTTCCTGGAGAAGCTCCATCAATGCCCACTCTTTCCACCTATCAGAGGTCAGTTTCAGCTGAACACAGTCATTCCCTGGGTTTTGTCAACAAAGTTGTTGACAGCAAATTTCTTGCTAAGACAACATTGAACAAAGATTACACTCAAGGATCACCTTCTCTCCTCTTCTAGCTGGTTGAGGAGCTCCACTTTCTCCCTATCAGCAGCTTCTACCATTGTTCGCAGCTGGTCCATCTTGGCTTCCAGTTCCAGGACATGCTGAGGAAGCAAGAATGTTAGTGAGTAGCCCAGGGATACTTCCAAATGGGTATGGCTAAGTGTGACCATGATGGGTGGGCATCAATCTTGATACATTCTAACACTTTCTGTCTCAGTTGGTTACTCCTGGCAACTTTCCTGTAAACTAGATGACAAAAAACTCCATATATAGCAACAGAGGGCAACAGTAAAACAAGTCTCAGCTTTTCCAATATGAAACATATGTTAATAATAATCTACAAACAACATCTGTAATCACTAAGGCTCTAGTAATGATCAGTTAATGCAGACAGACTCAAAGCCTAGACATAAAGACCAAATGGCTAAGATAAAATCAAGAAGAACAAAACTTAATGATGATGGAAATTGGAACCCGGACCACAGCTTTCCAACAAGTTCAGAAATTGATACACATTTCCTATGTTCAGCTCCAACTCCCTGGCTCCAAACACCAGGCACTCTTTTCAGCCTCATCACTCAATTTAGAAACCACCACCATATTCACAAGATCAACACCAGACGTCACCTGGTCATGCCCATCTCGGGCCAGGGCTAGCTCCTGCTCTATCTCCCCCACGTGGCTGGTAGCCTTGGCCACCTCGGCCCGCTCCAGGTCCCGCTCAGCCAGCAGCTGTTCAATGTGCTGCTGCTTCTCCTTCAACGCCTCCTGGAGGGCAGTGGTGCCCGAGATCTTGCGGGCGTAGCGGGAGGAGGTTTCAGTCAACTGCAAAGGAAAGTCAGAGAAGTGAAGGGCGATGGTGCTACCAGGGAGGAAAGGAATGAGCAATGCATGCACAGCAGGCATCTCCTCGGCAAAGCAAAAGTGCAGCCCCAGCTTGTGGGTTTGGAAAATATTAGGCAAAGTTCTCACAAAAAAAAGACCTCTTAAAACAACAACAACAAAGAGATAGAGATGCTAACAGCAAAGTTGAGAAGATGTTTAGAAGATGAATGTGTAGCTCAAACATGGGTACTTTGAGCTCAGCTGACGGGGATTGCAGGAATCTAGACAGTTTTCACAAAACCCATTTTAAAAGTTTGTCTAAAGTCAGATATAATGGCTCTCATCTGTAATTCCAGACTCAAGAAGTTGAGGCAGGGAAGCTGCCAATGAGCTCAAGGCCAGCCTGGGCTATAGAGTAAAACCCTGTCTCAAAACAAAACAAAACAAAACATCCCAAGGTTCTTTAAACTACTTCAGCCAGAGTTATTGTTATCTTCTGATAACATCTGGCCAACCTTTTGATCTTGGTCTTAAGGCTGAGAGTTTGTAAAGCTTCCAAACATTGTTAGCAAATGAAGACATCACACTCAGAGCCACAGCTCTTCAACTGATGGAACAGGTGGATTTTTGTCAGGATTTCCTGCATTTTTCTTTGCAAAGGAAAAACTTGGGAGATACCACGCTAGAACCTGGTCTCTTGGATTTGGATCCCAATCACTAGATATTTATAAGATTTAAAAGCAAAGTCTGGGTTGAAGAAAGACAGTCAGACACAGAAGGAAAAGGAAATGAGAAGATGGAAAGAAAGAAAAAGAGAAACCTATGAAGAAAAAGAAATGGTAAGTGGGAAGAAGACAACAGGGCAACAGTGGGGCAGGAAGGAAGAAGGAAAACAGAAGGACAGGAAGTAGCAGAGACAAGGGCTGGGGGACCCTGAGCAAGAATGGGTTTTCTTGTCATCTATCCATCTCTGTCTTGAAGCTAACAGTCGGATAAAACACAGAGGAAATGACCTGCCGAAGTGGCAGCAGGGAACTGGACAAAACGAAGCACATTCCTCTCTGCAGGCTTCCACAGGCTCTGCAGACTGGGAAGGTATTTGAAAATGGCTCCATCCTTAGCAAGCATTTGTCCATGGCCTTGATTTAGCAGTTGCTGGATCCAGATCAATTCGCCCTTTGCTTCATCTGCAAACAAGTGCTCTAGGTCAGTTTATGGAGCCCTCATCTCAGAGAGCAGACAGTGGGGATCTTCATCAATTAATCCATCAATCTGATGACTATGAGAGCAAAGTAATCCAATCAAACTTACACTGCCTTTTGTTGTTCATTTTGTGGAATTTCTTGAATTATTTAAATATACTGGGCACAAATTCCATTTCTCTCTTTTCAGCATTAGTCCAGCTTTGCCGCCTTGATGCATGGTTAAGTTATACTTCTCACTAACATCTCCTTGAGCACATTAAGTGTGAGGTCACCAAACCATGTGCACAGATTTGCCACGAGGGCGCATGAAAACTCATAGGGACGCTGAAGGATTTGTAAAATTCCAAAGAAATGCAAGGGTAGCTGTTGAACAGCATGCAAATGACTAAATGAGGCACTTCAGTTAGGCTGTGATCTACTCCGTTCAACAGCACCATGTCTGCAAAGTTGGATGCTGGGAACTGTGAAGACAAAAACAAGTACTATGCACACATCAGGGCAGCAAGAAAAGGGAGGCCCCAGAGACAAACACAATTCCAAGGTATGACAAGATGCACAATGCCCAATAGGAACATGTTCCCTAACAGCAAGACACTAAAGTTGCTGAAGAATTAACTAAATACTAACTTTTCTGGGGGCTGTAGAGATGGCTCAGTGGCTAAGAGCGCTTGCTGTGAAATCATGAAGACCAGAGTTCTGATTCCAGCACTCATCTAAGAAACCAGGTGTCCCACAAATGCCAGCTCCAAAGTGCCCGACACACACTGGAGCGCTCACACATTAGTAGTGGATTAGACTACACTAAAATTATAAAGCATTAAATTCTCTCAAAATACGCTGGTCCCTAAAATTGTTAGAAGTCAAAGAGAAAGAGACTTATGTCCACGATGAATGGGATCCCTCCAATTTCCCTGACATTTGGGCCCAAATAATTTCAAAGAATAAACAGTAGTTACTACAGACGTCCCAAGAACATAGATTAAAGCTACTATGAATAAAAGTGCCGCTAAAATTCCTATTCCAAAACTCATGTACTTGCAGGAGTCACAGTTCCAAAACTGCCTTGCACAGACTTTCACAACAGCCTACAGCCGACTCTCAGAACACACAAGCAAAGCGGGGCACTGAATGTGGGCATCTGGTGCCTCAGGAAGGAGGGGAGGCTTACTAGTCCTGTTCGGCTGGGTTTGCTGCTCACAGAAGAGGCCACAGAGCTCATGGAGCTGAGAGAGGAGGCAGAGGGGCTGCGCTTCAGGTTGGCAGGCGTGGTGGCCATCACTCGCCTCACAGCAGCTGCTTTGGCTTTGGCTGGTGTAGTAGAAGGGAAGCCAATCTTTGTCACTTTGTGGACAGGAGCAAACAATCCATATTTGGGCTGACATTGAAAATACCTTTAGAGAACAATAAAAGAAGGAACAAATACAACTTAATTACAAAAAGTAACAACTATAACCAAACACTCTTCCAACTCAAAATGTGTGAGATTATGTAAGTACATAAGCAGCTCTTTTATGTGATAAATGTAAAGAGAAGTTTAGAGACTTAGGGACCCCACTTAATAAAGTTATGACAAACAAGACCAATCACACAAGTCCCTGACTCTGGCAGATCCACCAAAGTAAACTAGAAATGTCAGTTATCTGAGGACACTAGAGATTGCGGCAATTACAAGGCTTAAGTAACAGGATGGCTTTGGGGCAGAGGATGTGGCTCAGTGGTAAAGGCTTGTTTCCGTGCGAGAGACCTTGTGTTTAGTTTTTGATACACAGGACACACACAAAAAAAGTGAGATGACTTCATAAATGTTTTTACTAGGGAGATTTTTATCTCTGTGAGTCATGATGTTTGGGGGTTAAAGTTCATATGCGTATATATGGTTTATAGGTCAATGTTAACTAAATCATGTCATGCTCAACACACTGTATACGAATAATGACCATGCATCATCTCACACAGCAGCACCCAAGGTTTTCAAAACATCTGAAGAGGAAACATTCTAAGCCAGGCATGACTCCATACACTAAAATCCAAGCACTTCAGAGATGAAGAGGATCAAGGAGCTCAGGAGCAGCCTTGGCTACTTGAGTAATTCGAGGCCAACTTGAGTCATGTGAGCCCAAAAAGAATTATGAGAAATCCCTGTACATCCCTCTGTACTCCAAGGGCAGGAGTGGTGCTCAGTGGCTAGTCCCCAAGCACAGATGAATTCTAATCTGACACGAAGACACATTTTACAGATGAATTCTAATCCGACATGAAGACACATTTTATATTTCTTTTTCTAACAAAGGCTGTTACCTTCTCTTTGCCACAACTCTTCTCCTTATGCTCAGGAACTTGTAGAGGCCCGCTACTTTCTCTCTCTCTCTCTCTCTCTCTCTCTCTCTCTCTCTCTCTCTCTCTCTCTTTTGGTTTATGTTTTGTTTTTCAAGACAGGGTTTCTCTGTGTTGCTTTGGAGCCTGTCTGGAACTAGCTCTTGTAGACCAGGCTGGTCTCAAACCTAAAGAGATCTACCTGCCTCTGCCTCCAGAGTTCTGGGATTAAGGCCGTGTACCACTACCACCCAGCTTGAGGCCCACTACTTTCAAAAAAGAAAGCCAGAAAGAAAAAAATCTTTGCTGTGCAGAATGACACTCAATGGTCAGCTGGTCTAGCCTAACTGGCAAACTCCAGAACAATGAGGAATCTTGAAGCTGACAACTAAAGCTTTCTTCTGGCATGTACACATGTGCATATGAGTATGCATTAAAAACAAAGACAAACAAAAAATATTTTCTAGTTAGGTCCCAGGAATAAAAAAGTCTAGATGTTGTGATATATACCTTTAATCCCAGCACTGGGAGGCAAAAGCAGGTAGATATCTGTGAGATAGAGGCCACTGGTCTACATAGCAAGTTCCAGGACAGCCAGAACTACATAAAGAGACACTGTCTCAAAAAGTAAATAAATAAACAAACGAAAGAATGAATAATAAAAGTATATCTACTAGAATAAATAAATAATAATAAAAGTATAGCTCCTAGGATGGATGGATGGATGAATGGGTGGACGGACGGACAGACAGACAGACAGATAATAAAAGTATAGCTCCTAGGATGGATGGATGGATGGATGGATGGATAGACATACAGACAGACAGACAGACAGATAGATAGATAATAAAAGTATAGCTCCTAGGATGGATGGATGGATGGATGGATAGATAGACAGACAGACAGACAGATAGATAATAAAAGTATATCTCCTAGTCAGTCACAGTAGCTCATATCTTTAGTTCTGATACTTGGAAGACTGAGTTGAGCAGGAAAACTGCCACAAGTCCCAGGCTAGCCTGGGTTACACAAGCAGTCCCAGGCCAGCCTGTTCCAAAGAGTAATAGTGTCTCACTAAACAAAACAAAGTGCAAAGCTCCTCAGACAGCCATTTCCACTTTATTACCCATGTGTGGTTGAGTTCTACTAGCGCACACCTGTATGTATGAGGGAGAAGCAGTATCACACAAACCAACCTTGTTCCAGCAACAGCACCATCATTCTTCCCCAAAGGTTCATCTAATTCCACACCACACCACTCCCCCTTGGCAAAGTCAGTCTCTCCAAGAAACCGGACTACACCAGCCTTAGTGCCACCAACCTAAAAGAAGAATAAAAGGTGAAACTTAAGATAAAAAACATTCAATAGCTTATTCCTTGTGGTCCTAATAAATGACAGGTGGTGCGGTCCCTCTTCCCATCAGCAGCTTCTTTGTTTTGTCTTCTCAACTCTTCTCAATCCTGAAGCCACACTGGCTGCTTACCTGAGTGACATACTGCTAGACTGACCTGATGTCTGGCCTAGTCCAATAATGAAACATTCTGTATCATTCTATAGAATATGTAATCATTAAGGCTTTTTACTAAAGTATTATCTTACTTAGAAAAACACTTGACACCAGGTCAGCAGGCAGACTCACTAGATAAAGGCACTTGCTGCCCCAGCATGTGAGCCTAACAAGTGCATCCAATCTCTGGTACCCACATAAATGTGGAAGGAAAGAACTGATTTCATAAAATGTGTGCTCACAAATACACACACATACACAATAATAAACAAAATAAATTTTAGAAAAATGCTTGATCACTTCAGAGCAATTTTCCTGGTTGGAAATAAATTATTTGCTATAAAAGTAAAAACCCAGCAACAACAGAGAGAAGTAAAACTCATCTGTGACCCTAGATTCTTGGTATTCTCTTGTACTTCCTTTGTCTCAACACAGTGACGTATTAAAGACACAATCTACACATGTGGTTTTGGCTCACTAATTGCATAGCAAATGAAAATTTAAACTTTATGCTGGGTGCTGGTAATACCAGCACTTAGAAAGTGGAGGCAAGAGGCTGAGACGTTCAAAGTCATCCTGCAGTACATAATAAGTTTAAGTTCCAGGACAGTCAGGGCTAACAGAGAAACTGTCTCAAAAAATAAATGGAAGGAAGGAAGGAAGGAAGGAAGGAAGGAAGGAAGGAAGGAAGGA